GTTGGCTCTGTGCAGAGAAACAACACTCTTTGCAGGAACATAACAATAATACTAGCTGGACTTGGTGTGGGTCACACAGTAGAACAGTTGTTAGAACCTTTGCTTTGCAAAAGAAAGTTCTGGGTTTGACTCCTGGCCTTTTCTGCATGAAGCCTGCACGTTCTCCTTGTGCCTGCATGGGTTCTCATTCCACATTCCAAAAATTGTGAATATTAATTTGGTCTCTAAATTGTCCCAGGTGTGTGTGTGTGTTTTTTTTGTTGACCTAATCTGTGTGAATTCATGCTCTTTTAGGGTCCCAAGGTCAGCAGTGGGGGCAGATGGCAGCAGTAATGTCTGCCTCCACCTTGAGTCACTTCTTAATGGTGCTAGATGTCTTGGAAAGAGAAATTGTCATATTTACACCTGTTTTCTCACCATCCTCTTCCCCGTTTTGCCTGCAGTACTTCCGTACATCTCTCCTCCACGCCTCATCAGTCTCATTACCATCCCACTCATGTGAGACTGTTTCTTCCTGTTGACATGGACCCATAAATAACTTCTTCCAGGCCCAATGAAGGCAAATTCATTCTCATCAGCATGCTGACATGATCAGTAACATCACCACGCTGATCGTCGCCTTTTTCACTTATCTTACCCTGTCATAAATTATCAGCTGCATACGTGGGACCGAGCAGCAGGCTGGCATGGAAAAAGACATTTTTATGTGTGATTAAATTTCTCCTTTTTGACTTCAAGTTCTGGTGGAAAGGAGCAAAACTACAGAGAGCAGCATCAATCGAAATCAAATCAGTTTGTGTTTCAGTGCCAAACATGTTGGTCTTATCAGCTTATCGTTTATAGTATGTCAGGCAGCCTGCTTTTTGATATTTTGATACATGCTAGTGAAAATCTATATTATACAACAAAAGAAGGTTTACCAATATGAGATGAATTAAAGTGTATCAATCAGCAATGACTAAAACCCATTTAATCTGAGCAGCTTTCAAAATCAAGGCAGGGTTTCTGCAGAGACTGTGATCAGGAATGGATTATAATCTCTCTCCTCTCTTTCGAAGACCTACACTTTTATATATTGCTTCCAGATTTATTGTTAAAAATGTGTCTCATGGCAGCATTAGAAACGAGTCCCAGTGTAAATGTAAAAGGTTTCCTCCAACTGTCAGTGTTGGAGGAAGCTGCAGTTCTCCAACATTAGGTTCCACTTACATGTTAGAAAAAAACAAATGTGGAGTTTGCCGAATTAGAGATGGAGAAACTTAAAAAACTTTCAGTGACGAACGCTCAGGTTGGGAGCAATATTAAACAAAGTGGATGCTGCTTATGAGAAAAAAGCATTTCATGCCCACTGTTGGATACAGTGGATGATTTGTGATGCTGCGGGTCAGACATTGGGGAACTCGTTGAAAATGCCTGGAGATTTTAAATAATCGATGTGCCTCCTCTACAAAACTCATCATCTGAATCGGTCAGTATTTTGTCTTTTAATAGGAGAATGATGACATCCAAAACATTTCTTCCTTGCCCATTTTGGCCCCTGGACTTCAATCCTGTAGAACTTGTTAACAATAAGCTGAAGAGTTTGTATATGAGGGGAGAGATTTCACAAAGACCCTCTGATCCAACATAGTGAATTGTTACAGGGGAAGACTAAGTGCTGCCACGCTGGAAAAAAGACGTTGCACAAGATCTTAACAGCAGTGGTGAAAACAATTTTAACAACTGAGATTTGAAAAATCTTGGAGTATTTTCTTCCCCTGAAAAATGTATTCGACTTAAAAATTGGATTTTGATACATTTTCAGATGGTTTTACTGCAATAAAAGATCATTGCAGTGGGGCTTTTCAAACAAATAATTTGCTTTATTGTTTAAAAGTAGTTATTCATGAAATCCTGTTTTCCAGTGTTATTGGAAACTGTTATTAAAATGCTTGTCAATGAAAAATCCAAAGGCCAAACCAGGACAAGGTCTCCTCTCTCTCACAGGCAACACTTTTCCCAGCAGCCATCCCAAAACTTTACCTCTCTGTTTATTTGTCGAAAGGATTAGAAAAACATGCAAAATGTTACCCCAAAGCAAGTAGAAGTAACTTTTTCTTACCAATCAGTTACCTTTCAAAACATAGAAAGATATGAAAGTTGTTATACACCAAGAATAAGTTGATCAAAGCTTCTCTTCACATCAAACTGTTCTGAGTGAAAATAGTGCCACTTGCTAAGACTTTGTTGTTTCGAAAAACTTTGTTGTTATGACATGCTGAGTCAGTTTTGCTTCACTATCTTTCACAGATCGGCTAGTAGGAGAAAATTTTCCCTTTGATTTGCTGAAAAAACCTACATCCAGATCTGCCAAAGATGTGAGACAGACCAGCAATCCCCACACTCCCAGTGCTTTCAATTTTTCTGAATTAATTCCTCAGTTTAATTTAACAGCAATGTTCAATATTAAGAAGATATTATGAAAATGCAGACCAGTAATAAAATCATAATGAAATCATCAGTCTTTAAAGTAACACATTTACTGCATGGAAAAGGCTCAGAAACAAACATTTTTCTGTTTTTCTGAACAATTTTGTTGAGCTCGAGTGTAAACAACAAGCTTGAACCTTACATAGAATTTCATTGTGAGTAAAATTTTATGAAATTGGTGTTGAAAACAGAAAACTAAAACACTTACTCAGTGATGAAATCCATTTGCCCATTTTTCTGTGCTTGCTTCATGCTTGCAGCAGGTTCACAGAACAGCTGGTGCCTGTTTTTACGGTGGTCACTGGGGAGGAGATGGGGTGCACTCTGCACGAGCCGGCTGTAAATCCCAGGGCAACACAGAGACAGTCCAGGGCAAACAACCACGCATTCATAACATCATTTCTAAATGGTTTTTTAGAGGCCAGTTAACCTAACATGCATGTCATTGGTTGGTGGAAGGAAACCGGACAGACCTGTGTTTTCACAGAGGGAACAGGCACAGAAAGGCTGAGATCTGGACCCCCAATCAGATTACTGCCAACAGTGCTGCTAACCATGGCACCACTATGCTGATTAATGAAATTCAAAAACTCCTTTCCAGTAATTGTACTAGAGTAGCTGAAATGATTGTTTCCTATACGGTTCCACAGCATGGTAAGCCAGATTAAACATAGATGAGTTTCATCTGAGCCCACAGCAGTCTCAGAAAGCCAAGCCGCTATTAAAGCAGAGCTGGTGGTGACTCTCGGTCTTGCTCATCCCTTGATCCTTCTGCCTTTTTCATCTTTTCAGCATTCTCTCAGGCTTCTCCTTGTTTTTCTTTTTTTAATTTTCAGCATCTGTTTTATTCCTCCAGAAGATCCCTTTCCCCTCTCCTTAAAGTTTCTGGCTCCCTCCAGATCAAATATTTATGAATTCATTGCTTGCCGGTTGAGGCTGTTGGCGTGGTTTAATACAACACTTATGAGAGTTTGAGGAAACGCACCATGAACAGAAGTGAGGAGGAGCACAATGTTTTTATTGTAATGTGCTTTTAATTGCTCTTTGACACTCACCATTATCAAGCAAGACATTGTTCTGTACAAAGCTGAATGTACCATGGGTAACAAATTCTGATATGGCTGTGAAAACAGTAAAACTTCTGCTTTCTCTTTCTTTGACTGACTCAGTGATTAGTTCTGTCTAACATCGGTCATCGTCCTTGAATGTGTGTAGCTAGGAGACCGAGCGGCGCTTTCTTCTCGGTGATCACCAAATGACTTTACATGAAGAAGGCGAAGCTTAGGGAGTCGTGTCAGCTTCAGAAATTCATCCATTCATTCTCTGCAGCAGAGGCATGCAAGATGTGATAAAGAGCCAAGGAGCTTTTAGAATATAACAGGAACACACAGTACATGCTGTTCACTTAGCTGCCCACTGTAATCACTCTGGTGTGTAAGTATGAAAACCACATTTTCTGCAAAAACAATGATGCACGGCTTTTACAATGCAAACAAAGAAACCTTCTGAGCCACTTCAACATTTTTCAGACTCTTCCCAAAGAATGCTCAAATCTTCAAACCACATCAATCAGCAGTCTACCTAAAATTACTTAAAGTAGTGTGAAGTAGGAGGGAAATGAATGTCTGGTTGAAAACTAACAGAGCACATTGTCATAAACACTCCATATCCGTGGTGAGACATAGTGGTGGCAGCATCATGCAGTGGGGATGCGTGACAGTGCAGAAGCTTGTTTATTTGTTGTGTAAATCCCACTTGCTCAATAAAGTTTATTGTGAGGAGAAGACAAGGAACCATTACGTAATTAGACTTCAAAATAAGAGCATGACTATAAACTTCCAAGTTAAAATGACTTAAGTCGATAACCAAAACGCTCAACATAGATATTGAACGTCGGTCGACACAACCAAGTCAATCAGCGCTTCAGAATTTATCCACAAAATTAATTTAGAGGAAGCTAGGTGCGCTAGAGGCTTTTAAAGCTACCAAGTAAAACTAGCTCTGTTATTAGTGCATTAGCAAATTACCAGAAGTGAGCCTACCACTGGCTAAAACTGTGAGGTTTTCTATGTGTAGTCCCTTGTTGTCCCTCTTCCCTTTGATTGTCCACAGCTGTCCCTGGTTTCCCCTGATTATCTTCCCTGTGTTTTCAATCCCACCTGTATCTGTGTTTCCCTGTCGGGTTCTTGTCGTTTGCTTGTTGTGTCATTAGTCGTGTACTTTCCCAGTGCTACCAGTGTGTTTGAGTTCTTTGCCTCATCGTTCACCTGTGCTACCTGGATTTCTGCTCACCTTCCTGCTTCCCATTAAAATCCTAACTTCTCACAGCATCCTGGGTCCACGGCCTCTGTCCTCACCACTACAGCCATTTCATGACTAATCTAAAACAAAGAAACAGCATCAACAAGCTGACAAAATATGTGTGTAATTTCTTATTCTAATATATAAAACTTTAAAATTTAAACAGTTTTTTTCTTTTTCTCAAAGAAGTCAATTTTGGGCACATTTCTGTGTTTTTCTCTGTCATTCAGGAATGGCTGGATCTGCGCTGCAGAGGTGTCCGCAACGCCAACGCTTACATCCTGGTGTACGACATCTGTTGTGTGGAGAGCTTCGAATACGTGAAAATGATCAGACAGCAGATAGTGGAGAACAGGTACACTCACACGTTTCCCCTCATCATGATCTACAACCTTTTCACTTCGTTGCTCATGTCTTAAGTAAAGCTGCCTCATCTCTCAATTAAGCACCAGCAAAAAACCTTTTCAGTGCAACAGTTGCAACAGATATGTTTACTCTTCCTGTCGTGGCATTTTTTAATTTAGCACCATCCTCCTTGAAATCTGAGCGACTTTGTTTTGCCGTTTGATGCGGCGGTTCTCCACGAGCGTTGTCGAAGGCAGCACCAGCAGTTTGAAGATTATGTGAGGGATATTTTCTGCTTTTATTTGACATGAAGGGAACAACGGGTGAAAAGCAGGGTGACAAAATACAGATCCAAACTCTCCTGAACGGCTTTGTGTCAACATATGTGAGGCTAAAGGGTTGAACATCAAGGATCAGAAGAAAACCTGCTTTGTTATCCACAACACTGGCACACCTGAATATATTTCCATATAGAGAGGGACTTCATTTGTTTGCTGTGTAGTACATGACCAAGCTGCCACCACAAAGTCCATCCTCCCCTCCTTGTTTATGGTCGGAGACAGAAACCCATTATAGGCAGGGTGTATGCAAGAGGAATCCCAAGCAGGAGAGGCGTGTTTTCACAGGATGCAGATCCCATGTCAGAATGAAAGAGACTCGCCAAGCGCCAGGCGGGGACCAACCCAGTGTGGAGTTCATAAATAATGGAGGTACAGAGGGATTCTCTCTCTGTAGCTCCAAAAGAACAAAATGTTGGCTTGAAATGATGTGGCTCTACAAAAATCTGCTGAAAACCAGAGTAACAGAATTTCCTCTCTTATTTTTGCAGCCCTTGAGCATGAAGCCTTCCTTCAGTTCACTGAAGCTTCTCATGGCGCTAGGTCCCTTCCCATATGGTTTTCATAAGAACACATGAATCCAAACACTTTCATGTAGATTGTTTCGCTCCCTCTGAGAAATCAATAATTTGTGAGATGATTTTTAGTTTACGTGAGATTACTGAGCACCACCTCAGGGCTTGATAAATGAACTGTGCATCGGTCTCTTTTTATGTAATGTTCCCCATCAAGCTATTGGTCTGTGAAAGCAGGTGTGGAAATATGCATTAACATGCGACTCATTGTCAGAGATTTACACCCAATTTGGGACAAAAAGATCTTTATTCATAAATAGAAGAAAAGATAAATTAATAATTCATCGGTTTTTGCAAGATTTTACTTCTGCATAATCTTTGCAGTCATTTTAGCAGCAGATTTATTATCTGAATTAAAAGCTTGCAGAGGATTTTACTTCACTGATGCTCCAAATCCTTTTGTTTAATAAAATGTATAGCTCCTGTTAAAGCAATGAAAAAGAATTTCATTGCATTGAAATAACATTTATTCCAACTAATCTCTATTTTTATTTGACTGATGCAAAGGATCCCTAAGCCAGCAATAAGATTCTAGTGATAATGTTTCGACCTGAGAGCCCACAACAGAGGTTTTGGTTTGTGCTGCAGGACTCAGAGTTATAATATTCAGCTTCGGTCTGACATTTACATACAGTAATCTTCAGCATGAATTACCTTAATTTGGGGTTTATTTGTCTTGTTTGTTTTTTGTCCAAAACACTGATTCAAATTTGAAAATTGGGGAACATTACAAGATTGGGGAACATTGTGCTGCTCGCCAGGTTATAAGATGAGCTTGAAAATGTAAAAAGATTGAACAGGGACAGGAGTAAAATAAACAGGCATTTTACTGAAGAGTGAAATAGAAAAACATTGAAAAAAGAAAGAAAAATCCCTCTTGCTTAACCTCAAGAGGGATGTGACATTAAAAGTCATCAAAACTGTCCAGATAACAATCTTTCTTATCAGATTCTCATTTTTGGTGCTTTTTTGCAAAAAGAAGTAGGTTTTAAGGAGTGTTTTGTTCTTTAAGCTCTTCTCTTGCAGATGCTGTCTCGTTTCTAAGAGTCCAAAATGAAACAGTTATTGTCTTACTACCTCTGATCTCAGCTGTGTGTGATGATTGACGCAAGTGATATTGATTGTGCATCTCAACAATGCAGTAATGTGTAAAGATAGAAAGTTTTTCCGCCTTTGCCACAATGGGGTCATCATGACACTGTGAATGCCTGACAGAAAAATAACCTAAAAATTAGATTAAACCTCAACAAAAGTTTAACTTTTCAAGGCCAATGGTCTGAAAATGTTACATGTTTTTTTCTTTTGTTTGGTGCTCCTCTTTCATTCCAGTTTCTTTTTGAAGGTAAACCTACAATGTGGTTATGATTATCCAGCACAAAATGTGAATACTTGTGTCAACCTTCATGATTTCAGGATTGGGTTGAGGAGCGTCCGACACAAAACCAGAGAAACCAGGTGTTTTCTTCATTGTTCCAGGCACTTAGTGAAATGCAATAAAGCCACTGTCAATGAAATGGCTCTCCACAGTGTGATGCTGCGACCACTGTGCTTGACAGCTGGTGCGTTGCTGTCAGGTTTAAAAGCTTTATATCTACTACCTCACTCGTATCAAATAGTTTCATTTATTTCTAGTTTGACCATTGAACAAAAGAGACATTTGGAGAAAATTTTCCAATTTTAACCAGTCCTTTTTAGAGCATAGATTTTTTTTTTGTTGTTGTTGTTTGGCCTCCTTTCAGTCTATGAAACTGGATTCACTTCAAGCAGTGTCGGGTTTATGGAAGGCTAACCAATGTCCAACTTCCTTCCATCTAAGGGTGGCAATTTGGATCAAATAACTGAACGTTTTCACATCTGGGACAAAGTTCAAAAAAGGAAACCAAAAGATTTGAGATTATACTTAAACACCAGGTCTGTGCTTGAAGACAAAGGTGCTCAAATTCATGGCCAGATTTATGCAAGGACTTTGTGCATGGCATTAAAATCTGTCTGCAACTTGATCAAATATATTAAAACCTCTAAATAATGTTCTTTAAGTTCATAGACGCTCTATGTTGGATAATCATTTTACCCTAAAACAGTTACCTTAAATCAGTAGTTCCCAAAGTGTGGGGTGCGTCCCCTGGGGGGGCGCAGTGCCATTGCAGGGGGGACGCAGGAAGCAGTATAGATGAATTGAAAAAAAAAAAAACAGTTACACAAAATTATTTCACTGTAAAGATGGTTTGTAGTATGTTTTGTTGCAACCTGAGGTGTGAAATAAACTTCAGTGAAGTTTGAAAGCAAAATATATGTGTACAGGTTTATGTCTGGTTGAACAATGTATGTGCCCAGCAGTTTTATTATTTTTCTTTTTTGGGGGGGGATGTTATTGTAATCCATAGGGGGGCCCAGAAGAAAATCAAGCTGTGCCTTTTGAAACAAACCCCTCCTTTTTTTCCCACTTCACATTCTCCTTCAGGGAAGGCAGCAGCAGTGAGGTGCCAATCCTAGTGGTGGGTAACAAGCGGGATCTGCAGAGGCAGCGCTTCATGCCCCGCAGGGCCGTGTCAGTCCTGGTGAAGAAGACGTGGAAGTGTGGCTACGTGGAGTGCTCTGCCAAGTTTAACTGGCATGTGGTCCTGCTCTTCAAGGAGCTGCTGGGCATCGCCGTGGCACGGGGCATGCGCCAGAACCATACCTCCACCCGTCTGCAGGGGGCGCTACAGAGGAATCGGTGCACAGTCATGTGACCCCTAGAGCTTCCTCCACCCCTTCTCACGTCTGTGGTGGAGCAGACCCTGGAGAAAAGGACTCTTTATCGTAATGGCTGGAAAAATACCCCGTGGCCTCCTGCTTAACTGAGCTGATTTTTCATGAGGTTTATTTAACTCTGCGCTGTAACAGACTCTGAAATTCCACCCATGCTCATCCAACCACTTCCTAGTCTAAACCTGTGTAGAAAGGAGGAAGCCGATAGAAGCAACGGCAACTTGAGATCCAACAGAGTTATGTTTTCACACATCAGCTGGAAGACTAAACATTTCAGACCGGGTCTCCGAATGTAACACGACTCATACATCTGGTCTGTAACTGGGCCAGACAGCATGAAAGCTGTGTTTGTAAGACTCAAAACCAGAGAGGCAGCAATATTATTGAGTCTTCCTTTTGGATTTGTCATATTCAGGATGGTGAAATGGCACAAGTACAGATATGACGCATTAGGATTTACTTCGAGATACAAGGCCAATAATCCACAATAGAATATGACAAAGATAAAGAAAAATCAAAGGTGCACGTCACTGAATATGATCTAAAAGATTATTTGTTTCGGTGGTTTAATTCAAGAAGGAAAACTCATCTATCACAAAGATTCATTACACAAAGACTGATATATTTCAAGTGTCTTATTTTCTTTCAATTTTAAGAAAGTTTGAATATTGCACGAGATTGATTGAAAAGATTTTTAATGCAAATATGTCATTCTAATGAAAAATATGCCCTACGTTATATAGTACAAGCATTCAGTGCTTGGTTGGGGCTCTTTTTGCATAAATTACTGTATAAATGTCACACAGAATCAAAGTTACCAGCATGTGGTTCTGCTATGGTGTTGAGGAAGTCCATGTTGCTTTAATAGTGACCTTTAGCTTATCTCCATTGTTGGTTCTTGTGTCTCTTATCTTTTTGTCGACAATATTAAGAAGTTTCTCTTTGGTGTTTAGGTCAGTCATATTTTGATTATTTAAGCAGGTATTGCTACTTTCAGCAGTGATACCAATGCCAAATCCTCCTGAAAAATTAAATTATTTCCATAAAGCATGTCAGAATAGGGCATTATGACTTTGGATTTAAGTAAACAGTGAACCAAACCCAGCAGATGACATGGCACCCCATAATAGCCACTACCTCTGGGAACTTCACACTGAATTTCAAACATCTTGGATTCTTTGCCTCTCATCTCTTCCTCTACAATCTGGAACCTAAATTTTCAAATGAATTTCAAAATTTGCCTTCATCTAAACAGAGGACTTTGGATCAGTGAGCAACAGTCTAGTCCTTTTTCTACTCAGACTAGACAGGATGCTTCTGTCAGGAGTGGGCTCATATGTTTTTCTTCTTTTGGACACGGGATACAAGCGTCTTAGTTCACATCTTGAGTACCTGCTTATATGACTGGAGACTCTTATAGCATTAACTTTGACTGCAGTCTACATCTTGTGAATCTTTCCTGAACTCTTGAATGGGCTTCACTTTACAATTTTCTCAAGGCTGTGTGGAGAATTCATCCGTTCTCCATGCTATGCTAAGTATGAGGTTGAAGAAGAGTCAATGAGTTGAATTCATGAATTCAATTTATTAATACCAAAATACAGCTGGTCCATTTTTCATGCTACCTTTAGGAGTTAGCAGGACAAAATGGCAACAAGTAACAGTTGGTAACTTCCTTTGTGTATGCAGGTATCTGTCTAAGCTACACCCTAAAGAGGGCGTTCCCAAGTGTGTCATTTCCTCTTCCCTTAACTTTGATGGCGTTTCCTAACATGTAATTTCCTTTAGCTTTAGCTTTGCAGCAAGTTAAAAGAGACAAAAGAAAAACACGGAATTACTTATTCTCAACAGCTGAAAGATATTTCTTTAGCTTGTGCACTGCTCTCAGACACGTTTTTTCATTGCACTCAACTTTCCATTAAATGCTTGGATGCAGCGTTCTACGAACTGCCAACCTTTACGGCTTACTTTCCAGTCATTGTTTGTTGAACAACAATCACGACCACACCAACACATTTCTGTACCAGAAAATTAATTTCGTATTGCTGTTTAGTTTACTTCATTTTTTGAGAAGCAAAAGTTTTAATTTTTATTTGATGTAAGCTATAATCAGCCAAGTTGACCAAACTGAATGCTTGAAATATATCATCCAGAATATAGTGAATCTTTGTAATGTACAAATTCCACTGCTTTAATTGAATTGCTGCAATAAATGAAATCTTCTAGAAAGGTTTTCTTAAAATGTATATAGTTATGACTAGATGGTATTTTATTTTAGGTCTGATGAATTAACCTGCAATAGACATTCTTTACAGATTAGGGTGAAGGTTGTTCGTCCCCAGCAAGGGTGTTTTAAGATAGTCTTTCAGCAGAAAATACTGAAGTCCCTTATGACAAACTGTGCAGCTTTATACTACTGTCTGTCCTCACTCAGACTCTGTTTCTGCGGAGTATATTGACACCAGGGACGTACGGACATGCAGGAGCATAAAATAAGAACCTGTGCTAGCATTGTGTATGTGTGTGTGCTTAATGTACTTTAATTGTGGGCCCTGACAGATTTGTGGGGACCAAAATTCTGGGCCTCTTGATGGTAGGTGTTAAAGTGTATGCAGGTATCTATGTGTGAAGGAGAAGGCAAGCCAAGGCAAAGTGTGGCGGTTTAATAACTGACTTTCAGGCAGGTAAAGGACAAACACAGGAAGATAGGGAAACAGATGTTGATGCTTTGGATTAGAATGGAGCAATAAACCCCTGAAACGATGCCCTCAACCGACTTCACACCAATATATTGTATTGAAAATGCCTCTTGCACTCGCTGTAATCCAATGTGCAATGCACTGCTGCAGCCTATAAAAGTGCATAAACACGGCTCAGTGGCTCCTACATCCAGGATGCAAATGGATCATTACTAAAGCTTTAACATCACTCTCGGAATAGTGTCAAAATGGCGATGTTGTGAGCAACTCTTATTTTTTTTGACTAGATCAAGGGAGGTACTTTGAGAACACAGCTGACCAATTTGTATATAAGAAAAGCTCCAGAGGGATCATCTTGCATGCTATTGTTGGTCAAATCCAACAGGTCAGGGTTTAATTGCACTGATGTGAAAATGTGATCTTGTGTTTAATTATTTTTTTGTACTACATGGTTTCCTGGCTCCACAGTGAGCAGCTGAGTGTATGAATGTTATCATTTTTCAAAGGCACGTGAGAGCACAAGCTCATGATTTCCTCCAAATGTAGTGCTAATTCTTCAGCGGGGCCAGATGGTTGCATTTTTTGTAGTAGTACAAAAAAAATGAGAGAAATATGTAGCAGAGAAATGAGAAAGCAACTGTGTGTAGCATGAGTTCCCATCAGTTTGTGTGTGTGTTTCAGAATAAAAAGGGCTAATGTTTGTTTCTGAGTTTTCAATCTGAAACCTTATCTTTATTTTTAAGGTGTTGGTACTCTTGAGTATTTTGTTTTTCTTTTTTGACACATGATAAATAAATAAATAAATGCATTTGAGAACGGCAATCTTGTTTGGGTTACTTCATATGATCATGACAGAATAATTAAGCATAATTATGACAACAATGCCATCTTGTGGTAAAATAATGCTACCTGGAGCCAGAGCGATGGGAGACAACAAACTGAGCATCTGATGAAACCTGCCTTGCTTATCTGTCTTCATTAGTCAGGCAGACTAGATGATCATTTTGTTGCTTGATTTGGACAAATTTTTTCATTGAAGTCTTTGTTATATATTCATTAATGATTTTTTTCTAACTTAATTCTACTTTAGACCCCTTCGTGGTGCTACAGTGGATTCAGTCTCAGTAAGAACATATGATTGTATACATAAAGCTTGACAAAAATGTCTTCTATGCATATTATTTTGTAGATCTAAATTCAATTGAGAAAATGTCACATTTTGATTTTTTCAACTACTTCTGTTTTTCTTCTTCATTGAGACCAAGTGGTGACACAGTCACCTCCATTTGGGTTCAGATGTTTTCTGTTGTGATGTGACTTCAGCTTCTGACATATGTTCATTTAGTTGAAATTAGGACAGATTTATTTTTACAGTTGGTTAAATAAAACCACACAAAAATGTACTGATTCTTACCAGAAAGCAGATCATTTGCAGAACAGAGAACTCTTAGGCTTGTTATTGAAGAAAATGTGTGGCTGGTTCTCATTTTTTAACATATGCAGTATTTTTGTGCTCTCCATGCTGCATTATAAAGGTCTAGTCTAAATAAGTTCACTACTGATAAATCAGACAAAAAATGTTTTTTTTTAATGATGAGTGTAAACCAGTCTTTTTGGATTTATGATAAGACAAAAGGGAAGCCAAGTTTATTTGTATAGCACATTTTCAGCAACAGAGTAATTTAAAGGGCTGTTTAAAAGGAGAATAAAACAAGCAAGCGAAAACAGTCTATGTTGATGTTATACTCACTTGTTGGTGAAAGATTTTCCTCTGTCTTCCAGTGTATGGTTGATCCGAAACATCTTGACTGTTTTCATCAAAAGGAAATTTCATGTTCAGATAACTGGGTGTTCTAACAGGACAAAGGCTTGTACTGAGCCTCCTATAACCAACCAGTCTTGTTGTCTCTGCAGAAATCACATGGTTAGGGTCCAACTTGCTAAGAGTGTAAACAAGTTCTTGTGCATTTTTTAATTGTTTTAATTAAAATATTTTTTTCTTTTAATTAAAAAAAACCTTCAACTTGTACTCAGTTTTTTTTTTTTTTTTTTTTTTGAGAAGCTGAATTTTTGTGTTGTGTAATATTTCCATCTAGCAAAAAGAATGGTTGAAAGGCATAAATTATGATTATGATTTGTATGTTCAGGATGAGTGTACATAAACTTCTGACGTAAACAGTATGTTAATAAGACAGAATACATGTGAACCATCACCTTTGCATTGTATTCAAATGACAAATGGCAGAAGACCAAATGCTGACAACTGATATAATTAATAATTAACTTTTAATGGCAGTGAAACCTTCATTATGTTTTAGTACAGACACAAGCTGTTCTTTTCCCTGCATGGCTTCCTGAAATGTCTTCAGAAATACTTCTGCTTGGTCACCCGACCGACTTGAGGTCAGGAATCACAATCCCCACGCGTGTCAAATGTGTAGCGGCCCCCGTCACGTGGTGCAGCTGTGGCTCATAGACTGGACCTCACCGAGCTGTCGCTCCCATTCAGGCGCCGGGGCTCGGGCAGCGAACACCAGCGGCCGCTCCCTCTCAGAGCCGCTGCCTCCAACAGCTTGGACCAGTCGCCATGGCGATAACTGCTCTTTTGGTTATAGCTGCAACCGGTTGCAGGGAGAGCTTGTAGGGAATTTCCTCTCTGTCGAGCTCGGTGTCCTGAATCCGCCGCTGCCTGCATCAGCAAAGTGTCTTGGCATCACTTCTCGTCCTTCCTCCGGAGTCATGTGAAAGGGGTCCGGGGTGGTTGCTCTCGCCGTAGACCGAACCCTCCTCCCCGTCTGCGAGGACGTCCTCTCCCCGACAGCCGCAGTGGCGTAGTGTTCCTGTCTCCGCTGCCCGCTGCCCGGTTCGGTCCGGTTTATCAACCTGCGCCTCTCCGGCGCACGGCTGAGCCGAGGATGAGCGAGCAAGGGAAGGGCTCGGCATCCACCTCCACCGCGGCCCCAGCTCCGGGGTCGGACACCTACAAAGGCTGGCTCTTCAAATGGACTAACTATCTGAAAGGGTACCAACGGCGATGGTTCGTCCTCAGCAATGGCCTGCTTTCCTACTACAGGTAATATGTTTATTTTTGTGTGCTGGAGTGCTGGATGTGAACGCACGCAGAGTGTCATATTTCAGTCGGCGCATCATGACAGCTGGCTCCCTCAGCTGGCTAGCGGCGGGCTAAAGCTAGCTGTCAAACGGGCAGCCTGTTTACTTCCAGCTGACGGAGGGTGTACTGTTTTCACTTTGGCTGAATATATGTGGGCTGTAGAAGACCTGGAACACAGACAGGGAGAGACATATTTATATATATAAATATACCTATAGCAGCATGTTTCCTAAGATAATATTAATGTTAGAAAAAATAAGGTTACCATAGATACATACGTTAGCAAACCAAGCTAACCCTTTTAGCCCCCTGTCCTGAAAATAACTTTTTACATCCATTTGTTCAGATAACATTCTACACTATTACACGGCCCCTCTCAGTTATTATTGTTGCATCATTCATATATATGTCACACAATTTAGGGGCATCGATCAAACTGAAACAAGACTGGTATGATTTCAGACTAGACAGAGATAAATATTAACATGCAACTCAAAAGACAAAAATTACATTATAGGGACAATTTACAACAAATCCAAGATAATATTTTAAAAGCTCAGCTTTACAAAATGTTTTTGTATTTGTCCTTCATTCAATCAAGCTGTTCATTGAGAGGAACAGCTTTTTAAAGTGAGACCTGGCTCAGAAGGCACACTTACAAATCTAATAGTTTCACATAAGGATCAAAATATAACAACAAAAAAAAAAAGACATTGAGATGCTTCCCCTTCCCACCTGTTGCTGGACACCTCTAGTCAGCCTGCTGAGAAAAGCTACTCTGGCCCTGTTTGAAATATGACTTAGGCTGCATTAACTTCATTTGTCAACAACTTAGAGTTGACTGCAAAATTGTCCTTTTTGTTTCTGAACTTAGCTTACTTTAGTAGAAATGGTCAGATTTATTTGAACTCTCCCTGCCAGATTTAATTAAACAACTGAAATAAAAAATCAAAAGTGTGCTTGTTGACAAATGAAAAGTAAATAGAAAGAGATGAAACGGAAACAAATATGATTCACCTTGAATGTTCTTTTAGTTGAAAACAAGACTGTCAAGAAGGCAGAAGTTAATAAAAAGTTTTAATGAACATTAAAATAGAAGAGTCTTCTGGGGACCCGGTGGGTTCTGGTGTCAAGGTATAGCAAAAAATATGTATTATAAAGTTAATACCATTTGAATGAAATGTCAGAGAAAGTGCTGGAGTGACCACAGTTTGATACTTTGGAGAATAGCAAAGCAAAGTACAACCTCCTTCTTAACTGATGTGCACATGTTTCAGCTGCATATTTTGTATCTCTATTAAAATGAGAATAGCTTAAACTAAAGGTAAGATATTTTGCACAGTTTGGAAAGCACTACAGAATTTTGCATGCATTTATAGTTTATGCATCAGTCTAAAAATGGCAACATAATGATGCCATAGTTATAGTAAACCTTTTAACTTAATAATTGTTGCTTTTTTGCTTTAAATACATGATCTTTGAGCAGGATAAAACAAAACTACTTGTGCTTTTGTATAAGCGTTAATGAGTGACGGTGGTTTATTTAAGTAGTTTTTTTAAATGACTTCCTCCAAGTCAGTCAATTAAAAAATTATTGATTCAAGTGTATTTGTTCAATATTTTCCAGGTCAGACTTTTTTAATAACCAGAAAATGGAAAAAGCTTGATTGATTTATTTATATTTTTAGATATTTATAGAGCCATGTTACTTTTAAGGTTTCGTTCATTTATTGCGTCACCTCACTTCACTGAGAATAGCTGCTTCATTGTCTCAGTGTAATAAGATACATGACTTTATGTTGCTGCTATCATCATTCTGCCTTCAACCCATTCTAACAGCTGCTTCCTCTTACCTAACATCACCAATACTAGAGTCACACCTGTGACTCTGTTGAGAGAGTCATGTTTCTGCAGGCATGGATGTTAGTAGTTAAAAGTTGCCTAGACATGGAAAAATGAGTTGACAATTTATGTGTCATCCAAGAAGTGCTTATTCAGCACAAAAGACTCCTGTTTGTCTTGTTAAAATGTACTTTAACTGTTAAAATCATCAGGTTAATGTACAACCTGCACGTGAAAATAACTTCCACATTAAAGACAGAAGATTTTCTTCACTCACAGCTACCAAAGTCTTAAATGTGCTAACTTTTGACATATACTTGATACTTGATTTTTATATACATTGTACCACTTGGTTGCTTCTCACCCTGTTGTTTGTTCAAAAGCACTGTAGCACTCAGATTTTAATTACTAGCGACAGGTTTAAATCATATGAAATGTATAACTCTGACACAATACACATTTACCTCCACACAGAATGAGAAACATTATCTGCAACGGTTGTTGTCCTGCTTCGTCCAGGTCCCAAATTAAATGATTCCTAGCCGAAGAAAGAAGCAGCTCAGTGGTCTGTTAGTTAAAGCTGTGACTGGGAAGTTTTGAAATAGAAATCCTTAAAAACTGTCAGTTGTGCTGGGACCTTGGTGATAAATCAACACAAAAGACACAAACGCACCCGGAATAAGTTTTTCCTCAAAAATCATGTGCTGTAGTTGTTTGTGGTGTTTTACAGTGTTATTCTGTTAAACAGGAAATACTGTCTACTTATTGTATTGTTAAACCCTCTTCATCTGAGTCCATTCCAAGTATAGCCACCTGTCTATCTGTTGTCATCAACATGTTATTTGGTGGAGCAGTTGCACAGCTAAAGTCTCCTGCTTGTAGTTGCGATGAAATGAGAGACGCCTGTTGCCTCGATCAGCATTAATAGTCCATTATGTTACACGGTGACCGCCTCCAATGAAGGAAAGCTAACCTGTCAACATCTGAGCACAGACGGGCTGAAGCGTACGAGTTGTTCCCTCCGCCAATGTCTTCCTGGGACGGCCACATTGTGTGTGTGTCTGACTCTGGGCTTTGTTTGCCTCTGTGAGCCTCCTGACTGTCTGTCACTGGAGTAAAAAGGAGCAGAGATAAATGTGACAACATGTTAATTAATGTGCTTTCATCGCATGTCATAAATGTGTTGCTTCCCACGTTTACCCATTTTTCTGCACATGTTCTCTATTTGTCATTTTATTCGACTGAGAGAAAGGGACAATTTTGGATAAAAATAGAGATGCAACTTAAAATTTTTGAGATGTCTTATTTTGCAATAGCTGGCCTTGCTCAAAAACACAAGGATTGGTTGTGTAAAAGACATTCAGTAGAAAGCAGCCAGGATGCTCTCAGTTTAATCAAACAAGATTTCTGACAGAGGAAAAAAACTAACCGATGCCCTGTTTCAACCACAGGGTTCAATAGGCAAAGATAAAATATTGTATGACTGTGAAGTGGCATGTTAATTACACATTTTTTAAAACCTTTTAATGAATTGAAAAATTAAACATATGGTATTCACTTTTTTAACACTTCAATGCCAATTATTTATAGATTCCTTTTTGCTAAAATTACAGCTGCAAGTCTTCAGGTTTTGTATGTGCCAGTTTCACACAACTGGAAACTAAAATCCTTGCAAATTCCTCGAGCTCAGTCAGACGGGGTAGAGGGCGTCATTTAACCTCTGGCTTGCCAGGCGCCACAGTCTCACCGTTCGATTTAGGTCTGGTCTTTGACTGGACCATTCTAGGACATAGCCATACTTTAACTTAAAGTACGCAAAACTTTCAATGCAAAACTTTCACTTTTGCATTGTAGCTGTGGCTGTATGTTTAGGGTTGTTGTCCTGCTGAAAGGACCGTCTTCCCAGTCCCTGCTGAACTAAAGCATGTCCTAGAATGATGCTGCCACCACCATGTACTGTATCTTGTAATTTTAAAGTTTTATGCATAATTTGTATAAGTGACTATTTGGTATTTGTCTTACTTTAAAGAAGTCCCTAGATTTCTAATAATTTAACAGTGAGTTACACACCTTTTGAAATTCTGTCAGTGCCTTAAGAAATCACTTTATCTCCTGCAGTTTTTTTTGTTGTTGTTTTTGTTTTCAAAGCTCTGGCTTGGCTCTTTAACCTGTGGCTCCAATCGATGCTTTGAGTCTATGAATGGGTTGACACACTCAGCAGTTGAGCAAGCTAAAGTGTAATGAGTTGAACAGCTATTCTGAATCTCATTCGGTATTGACTGCTCCATCACTTTGGCTCCAAAAACCGCAAGCCTGGTCATTCTTTCCTCCACATCAGCTTTGTGTCATGACTCCTTTTAGTGCAAATCACATAAAGAGCCTCGTTGTGCTGAAGAAGACGTATGACAAGATCTTCTTCCTTCCTGGAACATCTTCATCTTTTTTAATTTCTTAAGTGACTTTGCTCCTGCATTTAATACTCTTTGCACAATTTCGTAACCTCTCAATGTAAATCCAGCTCTGAATTAGGGAGGATTACAGGACATTAAAACTTTGGGAGCTACTGGAGCTGCAATATCGCACCACCTGGTCTTGTCTTTCATAGTAGCCTGGTCTGTCTCTGTTTTGCTCCAGTACCTGGAGAGAAACCAGATCGTATCAGGCAGCAGGGCAGACCTGCTCACCAGGTGTTCCCTGCTGCCTGGGTCCATTTTAGAGAGTCAGGTTATGGTGTTACTGCTTGCTCATTCGGGATACGGGGGAGGAGGAGGAAGAGTGTTGAGCAAGGCGACCTCGGGCCCAGCTGAAGGTTCGATCTTGGCGTGAATCCTGTCTGTCGGACAGGCGTTTTATCTGGAGTGACTGGAGCAAGCAATGTAGCTGCTGTGATCTAATCTTGTTAATGGGCTATTCATTGCTTTTAGCACCAGGCGACATTGTGTGCATGCTAAAGTGTCTCTGTTTGGGTGTCTGTCTGTGTGGTCTTAGTGCTTTTATGTGGCAGCAGCTAAGAGATGACAAAAAGACACTCGAGCCAGTGGCCGCATACTTAACTTGTCATCGGTTCAGTTTTTCTGGAGCTCATACCAAGCTGTCCAAAATGGAGCACCACTGCTCTTTTTTCTAAGTTTCATATTTGTTTTTTTACTTTCAGCATGTTATCAAGCGGTTCTTTGACATTTTTGTCCATGTCTTGTTAAATTGTAGCCCACAGCCACAATAAAACTGATCTATGGTTTCAAGCTTCGGGTACTTTGTCACATTTTCTCTTCTCGTCTGTTTTCATGCTCACTGGTTTTTGTTCTGTCATTACATGCTCCAGATCGGTGGATTTATGTTTTATGAGGATGTGTGCACAGGGGATGGACAGGTAAAGCACACCGATGCTCTCCTGATGCAGCACATCATGCTGCTCTACTTTCTCTTTCTCCTTCCCTTCCTCATCCAACTAGTGCCTTAGCGCCCCCATGGCCCTTATCTCTGTTTCCCAGCTTTTTCGTTGACTGTGTAGTTTCATGGCCTTTGCATGGCCTGGCCTCCCCACAGGGCAGCAGCGATCAGCATGCGTCTCATCTTACTCATCAGCAGCACATTCTGTTTCTGACCCACTTAACGTGCAGAATTTTACAGCTGAGCTCGGCCGGGTGAAACCACAAACTGGACTGTTGAGGATCCCTGCCCGACCCGCTCTCCGTTCTGCTTCGCATGGCCCCAGTGCAGTGTTTGTCTGCAGAACTGATGTGCACCAAGTGCCAGCAGAGGAATGGAACACTGAAGCGCTTGTTCTCGCTTGGCATGATAACAAGACTTGACTTTAGGGAAGCCGCTGCCTGGCAGAATTTATAAATACACTCTAAACCTTTGACTCAGTGAGGCAGCGGCTACCTTATTAGGGAGATTGACATTTTTCTTGTGAGAAAGAGAACTTGAAGAGTTTGATGGCATGGCTGCATGCTTTAAAAGGATGTTTTTGAGCGTATGACCCTGCAAACCTGTGAGCTTTTGGCTCATGCCTTTTTGTTTTTCAACTGTCTTGCTTCCTGATCTAAAAAAAAATAATTAGTGCAGCAACATCTATATTTGGTTCAATTCAGTATCAGTTCACCAAACTAATACAATGGTCATTTCAGGGCACTAACAGGTCTTATGCATATGCAATGAAAAGGAACTTCTTATTCAGTGCAGACCAATGCAGTTCACAACAATACAATCTAGTCCTGATGTCCCATTGAGATGAAATTACACCGAGATCAATTTAGTCCAAATTACAATCCTGAAACAGTCAGAGTCTGTTGCCCAGATGAACAGGTTAGAAGATGTCTGTCTATAGAAATTGAGTCATTGCAGGGACCCCTCTTCCTGAGCAAGCATATGGTGATAATGGAGAGGAATAACTTCCTTTTAACAGGTAGAAATATCCGACAGAACCAGGCTCACTGTAAGTTGCTGCAAAAGACTCCATGTTGATTTAGTGAGTTGGTTATAAATTGAATTTATTGGTTGTTTTTCTGTGAACATGATCAAAAGGCAAAATATCTGAATTTCAAGAAAATTAATGAAAATGAACTCATGTGGAAGTCATTTGACTGCAGTCTGTTTTTTACATTAGTGGTGGTAAAAAAGTTTGTTTTTTATAATATGTATAACTGCTTCAGCTCTTTGTACTGCATAAATGTATGTTTTTATTAAATAATTAATTTTACTTTTGTTTATATTTTTGGGGATTTAGAGCACAGAAAAATATACTTATGATGGAGGTAAAAAATGTATTTTCTTGAGCACAAATTGGCTAGATAATTCTTTTTTTATCAATGAATTTGGAAAAAAAACTAAACAAAAAAAAACAATTTGTAGCCTATTTACATAAAAAAGGATAAACAAAAAACTAAAGTTAGAGTAATATTAACATAATTGGAGTGTAAATTCTGTTCAAAGACGGCAAGAAAAGATCTTAATGCAATACCACAATAAGATTTCACTTGGTTGAAGATGAAATAAATAAACAAATGCAGTTTTAACAATTAAAATCAGCCATATCATTACTTGATCATTCAAAAAGCTGCTCATTTTGATATTTGGGGATTTGGTTATGGTGAAACTGTACAGCCTTGTGATTTCATGCTGTTTTCAGATCCAAAAAGGATGTTTCCACTGTCTGTCGAGTTGCTTACTGAGATCTTTGAGAAATGATGATGATGTCCCAGATATTAATTAATTTATCATGTCTTTTTTGTTCCTCTTCTGATGTCGCAGATGTGCAGATCTCATTTGCCATGTGGACGAATCCACCTTCATACCATCACAGATGCTGGCATTTTTTTTTTAAATAACTGTGTGTTGATAACAAGCCAGATGGTCTCTTTCCTTATGAGGCTTTAATAACCGTGTACTGTGGCAAATTTTTGATTTGCCAGGCCACAGGACTCCATTCCACATTGCCTCAGAACATCGTAAAATCAGAATAAGGCCATGGCATTTTTCCATCTCATTTAGACCTGCTGGTGCTTTTAGATGGTGTTTAACATCAGGTATGTTCACAGAATCTGGTTATTACTATTCTTGCAGTGAATTATTTGTAGATTCAAGTACCGGTTTGTTCCAGCACTTTAATGTTTATGTTGTTAATTTACAAAAAAAGGGCTGCATTTTAAGATGTGAGAATATTCTTTCCAGGAAACATGATGGTCCGTCACAGTGGCAAAATATTAGTTTTGGTGCAGCGTGTGCAATCAATTGCCGTTGCTATCAATTACTTTGTTCTGATCTTCTTTTTAATTGTTCTGCTATGATTCTGCTCTCTGTTCTCTCTTTGTCTGGATTTTTATTAATTGTTCAGTTGTGTTCAGTAAAGAAGCCTGAAGTTGCACAATGGCCTTGTTATGTAGACTTGAAAGCCCGCTGACTGCACACAGCTGGTGTCGTGAGGATATCCAGATACCCACAGTTCACCAGCAGGAGGGGCAGCTGGTGCAAATAATAATAAAAAGTTGTTTAAAATGAGCTGATTCAAGTTTGCTATTAATGTGTGCATTTACATATTTCTTACTTTCTTCTACTTCAGTGAAGCGACTCAGTGTTTTTCTGTTGCTTTGCCTTCAGTTGCTCTCTCTTGCTCTGCTTGTTGGCAGTAGGAATGCCAGCTGCTATCCCAGCCTTTTTGGTTGAAAGACTGAAATTGAAATTCTGTTCCCTCCTCATTCATTCTCATGACCAGTGTGCCCGTCTATGTTGTATGTCTTGATTTACCTCCTACCCTGTGTTAATTCTTTTTAGGACACAGGCAGAGATGGCCCATACATGTCGAGGAACTATAAACTTGGCTACTGCACATATCGACACAGAGGACGCCTGCAACATTGTGTTGAGCAGCGGCGGTCGCACATACCACCTGAAGGCGAGCACTGAAGTCGAGCGGCAGAGATGGGTTACCGCACTGGAGTTGGCTAAAGCTAAAGCCATCCGCATGATGAATGATCAGTCTGGTAAGAAGCAGCAGCTACTTTAGGATTCAAGTCAATACTGATGTATTTTTTCCCTCCCAAATCAACAGTTGAAAATATAAGTGTGTATACAGGTTTGAACTATAAACATGTATGGATCAACTTCCAGAACATTTTGTAATCCATCCATCCATATCCTACAACTGCTCATCCTTTAACACACAGGACAGAAAACCATACAAAAACACACGAATAGCTGAGGGAAAATTTGAGTAGTCAATATTAAGAGGAGGCTGGAGTACCCAGAGAGATTCTGTGCATGGACAGAGAGAACATACAAACTCCTTGCAGAAAAACCCCAGGCCAGGACTCAAATCCTAAACCTTCTTTTCTAAACTTGCATCCACATCTTCAGCAGATTTGAACTAATGTATATTCATGTGTTAAAATGGTTCAGTCAAAGACCACCCCTAAATTCGGTTCAACATGGGGTTGGACAATATATAACAAATGTATTCACCAATATCATGGCAACACCTCAAAAACAATGTTTACAGAAGGTCCTCCTGCCAAGTTTGAGCATTGAAATATGCACATAAAAATGTTGGTTGTATGAATATTTTTGCTGGGCATTGTATATGCATACATTTCATTTACTTTCTGCAATCAGCCATTTCCTCTGCTTTTTGGTTTTCCAGCCAGCTCTTACCTTTGCTTAATGTTGTTCATGTTCCATTGAGAGCCAGAAGAGGGCAGCTGTTACTCCACAACCAAACTGGAAAAACAAACTGGAGTATGCTAATGCCACTGGGAGAACTGAGCTTCCATTCAGTCAATCTCCTTTCCAAGAGGACCTATTGTTGTTCAGGCTGGAAGTTCTTTGGTCAAAGGCTGTGGGAAAAGCCTGGGTGTTTTTGTTTTCTCTCACTTTACCACAGCATCAACTCGAAGTCGGCTTTATTCTGCAGTAAAAAGGTTCTGCAGAAAGCGAGACAGATTATATATTCTTCTGGCCTCTGTGTGAAAGTCAGATCACTAAATATAGACTGAACAAGAATGTGAGTGCTTTTTAAGCTCACCCACGTATGCTGCAGAGGAATGCTGGTATATTTAAAAAGGTTAGGCTATTGATTGAATGAGTTCATTTAGTGTGTCATTGTAGATTTATGTGTTGGCTTTGGGTAGTTTAACAGTTCACTTCGCTTATTTTTATGATATTTGTCACAGGATGATTTTCTCTGGCATGTCACTGTGCAAGTAGTGAATTAACTAAAGTTGGTTACAATGGAAGATCCTATATCAAGCTCAATTAAATAATAATTAACATCCAACGTACTTAAACCAAAGATACCATTTGGTTGTCAGAGCATCTGTCACTGACACAATTATCAGGAACGGCCAAATAAACTAGTTGGCTACAGTTTGATATGATGCACTTCTTAAAAGGAACTTCTTATTCAGAGTAAAAAATGCAAATGGCTGGTATTGTGATGGTATTTTCTTATTTTAAAATGCTTAGTTACTTTTGTCCTTTGTGCTCATTAGTAACGTCTTTAAAAATGTATTTCTTCCAACCATAAAGGTACAAACATTCATGAAGTTGATTTGTGCTACCAAACAGAAGTCAATTTTTTTCTATCTTCTTTCTTGCTGCCTGATAAATGTATGTTTCTAGTAGAATAAAAAGATTATTTAAAATGTAAAAAAAAAAAAAAATTGAAAACCATGTAATTTTTGCATAAAGGTTTTGGATATAACAATGCATATGTGAAAAAGTTTAAGAGGGTGTGAATACTTTTGCAATTGTGCTGCATAAGGTACGAGTCAGTGAGGAAAGATTGTACACAGGTCTTTGTGCTTTTTCCTTACTTCTTTTTGTTTCACTGCTTATACAGATTATGTATTGTCTGTGGAGAGTGTCTACGCAGAAAGCCACTGAAGTACTCCCTTGACACCAAAATGAATTACTAAACAAGTGTGTGTTCAGACTCTGTCGGACCATCTTTTTCTTTGTTTGTGGTGTTGGACATGGATCAGCACCAGAATGTCAGCATTCATTAACCTACCCTTGCTTCTCTGCTTTCGGAACAAAGAGCTCATATCGATTTCCTCAGGTGAGCAGAGTGTAAACTGCGGATAGATGTCAGGAGGGAGCTAAAGGTAGACATTGATATCCATTACAAGGCTGGTTGTTCCATTACCATCATGTGGTATTTTTTAATGTTTTAGCTGTGTTCTGTGTTATGATGTGCTGCAATTTTCAATCCCTTGCATCCCACATTTGAATCCAATAGTTCTGTTGCATCTATCATTTGACTTGTCGATTAGACAGTCATCTTATTTTGTTAGAAAAGATGCCGTCTGTAAGTTTGTCATTAACTTTTGCATAATTAGGAATAGTTTGATTTTACTCACTCATTTCAACATGATCTAAATCGTAAAGCTCAGCAGGGGGCAGTGTTTCCCCTCTCTTTGACTTGACCTCCTCTGCGTGCCATGTTTTTGTGCTTGCATGAAGTAGATCACAGTCCTTGAAATAACTTGTTTCACTAGTGACTTGAATTTGTAAGCCTGCCTGACACGATTAAATACATTTATAGCCTCAGTTGACATATTTTTATACTAACAGAGAAGGTTTTAGAAATTGCTGGGTTGATTCATCGAAGAAGGGTCTCCATCTCAGACTAATTTGCAGCAGAGCTGAAGTAAGCAAGGTATGATGTGAAATAACCTGAGCCCAGCGTGTCCAGCTTGATGGCTTCATTGTATGGCCAGTATGGCAGTCTGATGACCTTTTTTCCCTTTACCATAGACTAATGCTGCTTACTTCATCAAATTAGGTGCCGTTTAAAATATTTCCTGTTTTTGACAATGATTTATCTTCCTTCTGTTTTTTACCCCTAAGTCTATTCTGTGATTCACCTTTTGCTGTTGAACATAATGAACTGTCCATGGTGCTGAAACAGTAGAAATATCAGAGCACAATGTGAGAAGAAAACTTAACATCTCATGTTTAAGCACACTTCATTTATCATATCGCCACAGCCTCCTTACCCCTCCCTCTTTGTCCTGGCTGTTTTTTTATTTTTTCAACCTTCCACATATCCACTTTTCCTCTCCCTTCCCACCGCCCTCTCACACTCGCTGTCTGGTTTTTCCCGCCTCCTCTTTTCCCCACCCCTTCTCTCTCAGTAAGCCATTTTCTCCGTGTTCATTTCTTTCTTAGTTTCTCTTATTGTTTTTTGTCAAACTCTCCTGTCTTGCGTAAAATATTTATATTTTCATCAGAAGTCTCTGGATAAAATCTCTCTCAAGTAAGTACACAGTTTTTCTCCGTTTGTGTTAAGCTATGAAATGTGAGTAGCTTTGAACATTTGTGTATACCTGAAACTGTAAAAAGCTGAATAGATGTTTCTTTTCACTTGTCTAATTGTATTTTAGATGTTTTCAGTGGATTATATGTGAAGATGGTGAATTCTGTGTAATTTAAATAGCAAATCTCTAAAATTAACTTTTCAAAACACACATCACATTAAATTTAGACTCACATTTTTAAAAATACTTCCACTTGACTAAAATTATGAGACTAATACCTAAATGAAATATGTAGTAGTTATTGTTTTTCTATTAACCGACTGTCCTCTTTTGTCAGTTTGAAATTTTATTTATTGGAGTTTTCACAACAACACACTGGTGCAAATTAGTAGGTTTCCTTTTGAAAAATGTTTCGAGGTTGTTTTTTTAGTTCAATATTTGCCTATACTAAATAGCCCTGCAACTGCTTTATAATGCTTTTGGCTTGGGGAGCTTGCTGTGCTGGGCTACTGTTGGAGCCCCTGAGAGGATGTTATGAAATGACAGATGGTGTGCTTCTTATCAGCTTCTTCAATTCGTTGTACTGCTGCTGTGTACTCAATGGCTTGCCTTTGTATTTGTTGGAACAAAAATTGTCTGCTGGCACTGCACGATTTGCTACATCAGCTCCAGTTCTTAATAACGGGTGAGACGGAGACAAAGAGCTCAGAGTGAGATCCAGTCTTGTAACATAACAAACATTAAGGAAGCCAAACAGAGATTGTTAATGGCTCTCCAAGAAGTCGTCCTGCCAAAAATCACAACGATGGTGATATTTCTTTTTTGCCTGGTTTTAGTTTATCCAGTGTTTTTCAGCCTCACTTTGCAATTCTTTCTTTATCAACGTGATTTTCTGTGGATGTATGTGAAAACCATAATTTGCTCATGCAGACAACTATTGTATATTTTGAAGTTTATTGTGATTTTGCCACCATCTGCTTTTCACATTGCATTGTTTTTGAAAGACTGTCGTTATTCTAATCCAGCAGCTTTTTCAAAAGATTCCAATTCCCATTAATAACACAAATCAACTTTGTATTAGTACATTTACCCTTTTTGTTACCTGCCAGGAAAAACTCCAGATAAATTCACTCCTTACCAATTTGATAAAGCATCAGTTTCACAGTGCCATTTTGAAAGTGGACCAAAGAGCCTGGACAATGTCATGCTGTTAGATCATCTGCTAACTTAGGGTAAATTACTCATTACAAACTGCTGGCAAGCAATCTGGCATGCTGGTTTATTTATTTCTTTCAAGCTGGTTTTTAAAAACAATAAAGCAAGCAATGTTGGTCTTTATTCATGAAATGAATGCAGCTGTGCAAAAAAGACAGCAGAAAGGGGAAATTTTGATGTCTTACTGTGTTTGCAAAACCCTCCTTTAATGTAACCGCACTAGGTTATATTAAAGGAGTAATGTAACCACATTTTCAGATGCACAAGAGTTTATTTGATTGTTCATACCATCCCAAAGAAAGTGGACCATAAAAGCTCTGGTATTAAAGCGTTATGAAGTGTGGCAAAATGGTGAAGAAGCGAAATGATCATCATCTGACCCTCTCGCGTCTTGCAGCCGAAATGAATAGCTGACTTGCCTCCATAGGAAAACATTTTTTTCATTTTAATTTTCAATTCCTTACCGATACTTAAATAGCTGACTCTAAATCTCATTCCTACAGTAACAGTTTCTACACTGAAGAGGGTAAACGGTACAAACTTGTATCTCTTAGGTGTTGTGCATTCATTAATCAGAAAAGCTTTGTACTCAGGTGATGCTGACTATTCAGTCTCCACACATCAGACAGTTCCTCGATTCATCCATTTGTTTCTTGTTTTAGTTTTGCTTAAAATACGTCTTGTAATCGGTTGAAACTAATTAAACTCTATGTTCCTGATGAGCCATTATCTCTCTTGAACTTAAAGTTATGTCAATCTTTCTTTTGTGTAGATATTTTTATTTTCCTCCTCTTCTGTCTTTACTCTTGTCTTCCTGGGCTTTTCTATTTCCAAGCAGTGTCAGATAAATAACTGTTCCTTAATGTGCGTGTTGAAAGGGCTCTTCTGTAAATATCCCCTCCCCAAGGAACCTGCTGTCTGGAAAGAAAGCCATCTCTTCTCCAATAGCCTAATATCCCAAGACAGCTTTCCCAACATTTCAGTCAGTTTCTTGGTGTTTTCTTGTTTCTGTTATGCTGCAAATATTTAATGAGAAGCAATGATTACTTCTGCCACATGCATTTCTGTGAACTTTATTTTTATTGTTTCAGTTTTGTTTTCTGACTTCAGTGTTGCCATCTGCGTTGGGAGTGAAGATATTGTTTCACTGTGTTACAAAAGTTGTTGTGTATGTGGAATAGATAAATGATTTATTCTTGCAACATTTAGAAGTTCTGGTGTAGATTACAATATTTGGTTCATTTTCTCCTTTAGAAGTTGAGTTACAATTGATCCAGACTGTTGCTTTATTCTGCTTTGTTGCCCTGATGAACCTTTGTCAAGTTGATTAAAATAGATATGGTGAATAACGCCTTTAAAGAGATGGTAAAATAAATAAAGAACAGATTATGTGAATGATAAAAGCTACATCAGTAAACATAAGGAGAGCTTTGTTCAGACTATGTTGCAGTCATGCATGTTTTGTTGTGCTGTCCTTCACTGTTACAAGGTTTATTACTCCCTGCGGGTCAAGTGTTTACACTGTGAGCTCTACATGCTGCATAGAACCTGTGCTCATTATTAAGCCACCATTGTGTCCCTGCAAACACACACGCACGCACGCAGGCACATTTTTTCTTTTCTCTTTCTCCCCAATGCTTCTCTGCTTTATCAGCAGGATGCAAAGTTTAGAAATGGAGACTGCTGATTTGGTAGATCATTAAAATAAAATTTAAACATTGTGTGAGTTGATCAGCAAGAACAAAGGAGCCTCAGTTATTAGTTACTTTATTTTTCTCTCTTTTTAGTCTTCCCGGTGAACTCAAGTGCTTTGAAAAGCCTTTGGGTCGTGTTAAAGCTCTAAATATCAGTGTTGTTGCTTTTTGATTTTAGAAAATGCTTTGTTTAAAGGAAATGTAGCTCAGAACATTGTTCTGGTTGACATTATTTGACCATTTTTGTGAATAAATAATAATTGTCCTGGGCTGACAAAAGCAGGAAAATTTTAGTTCTTTGTTTTCTTTTAAATACTTTTAAATGCACTCTGCAAAAAAGTTTGAGAATCTACAAATTTTCCACAAATAATTTGCTGTTACATTACACCAAAAGAAAAATGCAAAATCAGCAATTAAACAGTAATATTTACTTACGACAAAGATGCAGATAGAATAATAGAAAATGGGAAAAAATAATTTATTTTTGTCTAGCTGCTTCATTATGTAATTTAGAGGCAAAAAATAGATACTTATAGAACTCGTGAATATTCCTCATTGTTTTTCACACTCATTTCTCACTATATGCTCATTGAGCTGGATAAATTTCCCCTGTGTATCAAAAGTCTGCTGTTGTTCCTGCTGTGAGGTTTCATTCATATCAAATTCCACTTAAAGATTACTAAAACCTCTTGGCCAGTGCAGGCTGCCGCTGGATCGGTCTGAATGCTTGGAGTTGTGTGTAATTCTTTTGATAAAGCAGGTTATTATTACCACAGGATGTGTGGTGAACATGAGCGTGGGCTTGTATTTTATTTATATTTCAAAGATATTTTGAGTTTTATATAAATTTGAGCTTGTGTTTCTTCAGAGGAGGTGAGACAGCAAAGTATCTGGGTCCTTTTATGTAGATTAGCTACATTTAAATGGCTACTGGAGCTGAAGGTAACATGGCCTAATGATTTAAATGTTGTCAAGTTTAAAATGTGAACCCTGAAATGTAATCGGGAAAGGTTTCTTTCTCTAATTTCTGCTCTCAGACCATCTCACTGCTTTAATGAGCTCTGTGCCTTCAGACTGTCTGGCCTCTGTGTGTTTCGGTTCCCTCCTTAATGCAGTAATTGGTATAATAAGTCTGTTGTACTCTTTAAATATACTCTCTTCTTCTTACTGTCTTTCTGGTGGTTTGGCTTTCACAAACTTCAACTTTATATGAAGCAAAATTCATTTTTGCATCATTAATAAAGCCTCAGCTCTTACATGATTTAATTTGCATGAAAAGAAAAAAAAAGAGCTGGCATAATGATTTCATCAAGGGCTAAATTGTAATCAGAGTTCCTACAGGTCCTTTTCTCCCAATAAGATGTCTTATCAAAATAAGACTTGGTTACAAAAGCACTTTAAGCTATTACAGCTTTACTTTTATTACAATCATTTTCACTGAGACTATGTCACATGCACACATGGATACAATTGTTGGTTCTCCTCTGCTAATGACTTAAATGTTCACAATGGTCATTGAAATAACCTAAAGATGACAAAGGTAAAAAATAAATACAAATTTACTGAAAGTGCTTTTGAACTGTGGTTCAACAAATCATTTATAAAAAACTAATGGAACAAGCCTGGACAAAAATGATGATACCTGTAACTTAATATTTTCTTGTTGCTCAATTTTAGAGGTAATCAATGCAATTAAACATTTTGTAATTGTCAATAAGACTTCTGAACCTGTCCACAGGTGTTGTGACCCAGTCCTCATGCACAAACTGCTCCAGTTGTGTCAGGTTTGAAGGGCGCTCTCTCCGGAAGCCATGTTTCAGCTCCTTCCACAGACGTTCAGCAGGATTTAGATCAGGGCTCATTTCAGGTCAGTTCAGAATAGTTCAAAGTTTTGCTGCTAGACATTCTTGGGTGCTTTTTAGTTGTGTGTTTTGGGTTGTTATCCTTTTGTAAAACCCAGTACCTGCAACTAAGACCAACCTTTCTGACACCAGGCAGCACATTTCTCTACAGAATTCCTTTATCATCTTGAGATTTTACCACACCATAATGATACAAGACTCCCTGAGGCAGATGCAGCAAAGTACAGTAAGATCAAAGCCAAGCCTCCTCTATGTTTCACTGTAGGGACAATTTTATCTTCTTGATAACTTCTTCATAGATCACACAAGATGCCCATTTCCCATGTTTAAAGTTCAAAGATGCAAAACCCTTAAAGAAGAAACCCTTTAAGATTTTTTTGTGCTTCAGTGCTTTTTAGAAAAAGCCCCTCTGTCTCCTCACCCTCACCCCCGGACAGCTCTTGTTCTTGCTGTTTTCAGAAACTGCTGCAGAATTTTTAACAAACTTATAACAGCAAGTTTTTTTGTGACAAAGTCAGACAGTTGCATTTTTGTTGTGTGAAGAAAGTTGTGACATTTAAATTTTATAAAACCTTCTGAGGCAACAAATATTGTAAAAATAATAATTAAATAAATAAAAATACTGTTCTCAAGATAAAATAACAATTTTTATGGTTGTTTGATTTGTGTTTATAAATCTGAATTTAATATATAACATCTAATTTCTGTAACAGAACTTAATCAGACTCATTTAACATGCACCAATATGCAAAATTAGCATGAAATTTCTGCATTTTAAAATTGGGTGTACCCATTTATACTGGGAATATGCTATATTATTTTAGATTTTATCACAATAGGTTGAGGAATTTGTTGAGATGACAAAAACAAATATGAAGTATTTAAGTTTTCATCAGCCCATTTGACTGCAAAGCTTGAAAAAGGAAGTGACACATATCTGGGGAGATGCCGAGACTCACAAAATAAGATAAAAATCTTAAGAGATCCATTGAAAGGCATATGATCTGTGGATAGTTTACATGGGATACATCAACATATCCCATGTAAACTAAATACAGTGTGGTTAATCATGAAGATAAGAGATCGGTCTTGCAAAATAATAATGGAAATCACCATAAATGGGTTTTAAACTAATGTACAAATGGGTGAAAGGCATGCTCAGTCCATACGAAGAAACTGATGAATCGTGCTCAGAATTGATGTGTATTTTCTGCAACCCTCAGCTAAATGTGCAGCAGTTGACTGAGGTGACCTTGGTGTAGAGCACAGTGGGATTTGTAATTCAGCTCTGATTTGGGGCAACAACCTTCATCCACTCTGAAATTGAAGGCATTGCAGTCTGTATTGCAGCTGTTTGAATGTCTTGTTGAGCCATCAGTGGCTGATGATCAGCATTAAAAACACAATCAAACATAGTGACACTGCAGTAGCACATCGGTCAGTAACACAAAGAGACATTTTATAGAGGTTTGTTTAGTTTGACCTTCCTCCATCCCTATTCGGATTCCATCTTTTCCTCATTTACAGCTGCTCTACAAGCAGCTCACTAGTTTAACCAGCATATTTGTTACTCCTCCCTTGTCATTTCCCTTTCCTAAGACTGTTGAGTAGTTCTGTGAAGAACACAGAGGTGACAGAGAGAAGGAAACGTGTTCCAGTTTTGGTCAAAGATGATTGCTAGCTGCCGAGTCCTATCTCCTCTCAGCTCCTCTCCCTCCTCTCCACCCTCCCTTCCCCATCAAGCTGCACTGCACTCAGAAAAGCATGTGAAGGGGAATTGTAAACGTGCCGAGCTTTGTGATTGAGCGTATGCAGATTGTGTGCGTCTGATTCTAGTGGGCAGGGAATGCAGTTTTGGACCTAAGACTGAAAGAGTGCATGCGACTGGCCCCACATCGTTGTATGTGATTGAGTGCGGGTTTATTTGTGTGCATGCTGTAACGCTGGGGAAAGGAAAGTCAGTGCCTCAGCCCTCCCCTCGCTATGATTACGTAGTGGCACAAGGGCAGCGTCGCATCTCAGGGAGCGTGGAGTTGGATCAGGCCTGCAGAGAGTGGGATGAAGGGCCGGAGCTGCTGGGAGCCCAGGGCGATCCGCTCCCTCTGCAACTCGGGCTGTCTGAGTAAACTCAACCGGGGTCAGTATGGTGACAGCTCTAGGTTTGTAGCTAATGGTGCAGCTCTGGAGCTGTCACAATCATCTCCATGTGTCTGAAGACAGGTTTCTTCCTGGTATCTCTTTCTTTCTCTTATAGCAGTCTCTCACTTCTCCAGCTCCCTGTTAACCATGGATGCTGACTTTTCTGCAGCATCCTCTAACAATGCAGTGGCTCACTCTGTGAAAAGAGCAGCCTGCCTTCTCTTTCGCTCTGCACTGCATGTTCTTTCTCGTCTTCCCTCACGTTTCTCTCACTCATGCTCATTTCTGCTCACTTCCTTTCTTTTGCTCCAACTTACATCTGCGTATGGATGAGCTGGAGTGTGACAGGCCGATGTGTTGTGTTTGCAGTGTTCATCTGTGTGCACTTTTTCCCAACGTAAACTTCATTACGCAATCAGAAACCGTAAGCAGCGGGATAGCCTTATATTTCAGGGTCCTAGAACCTGTTCTCTATATCCTATTGTGGGATGTTTGATAATTATAAAGTGTTTTTTGCCTCCATTCATTTACAAGAAATAATACTTCAGGTAATCCTTAGGTAATCCTTGTTTACCTAAGGAAACAGGATTCTACGACAAATCAGTATCAGAATGTTCTTTTCGCACCCATGGTGGGAAAAGAACATTCTTCCTTTGTGTTTGATGTTCTTTTGGTTTGTGTTTGATGTTCTTTTGGTGCTGTTCTGTACATTGCTACCTTTGGACAACCTTTGAAATGTGTGCAATCAACAATTTTTTCTTCCATGACTCTTAACCATTACTTGCTTGGACCAAAGTAATGGATCTCAATCCTCAGACTCACTGTCTACTTACTTGGTTGTTCCTTTTTTGGCGGAAACTGTTAGAAGTGTTAGAAGGAAAATTATATTTGCAGAGTTTAGTGCAAATATTTGAACTTTATGTTAGAGACAGTATTTATAACTCACAGTATTTGGGGAACCAAATGTTCCAACAAATTGCAGTGTTTTCTTTCACCAGGACTGTTGAGCCGTTTGATCTGTAGGTATATGACACAACTATTAACCCACCAAAACTCATACAACATTATTCAGAGAAAAACCTCCCACTCAGTGCTGTAAGAAAATAAATAATCAGAGAACCAGTCTGGTGGCACACAATAGCTTTGGAGGAGCTACAAAGATCCATAATTTATTGCTAAAACATCTGATATATGTGCAGATCTAACCTTCAAGAGCAGCTGAAACAAAGCCAGAAAGCTTAAAACAAGTGTTCACTTGATGTTTGAGAGTTATTAAAAGTCCTTGCTATCTATAAGTGTCACTTCCCGGATTTCTTGGTTAATTAATGCTGCTGTGACAAACAGCAGCAACTTTAAATATTGAAAACCTTTCAGTGTTTGATTATCAAACTGTAGCTGTAGAACACCCTAAAGATCTTACCAACACAACACCTTATGGTTTACATTAATAATTTGTAGTGTTTAAAATGCTCAGAAATCAGACGTAGGTAAAGACATTTAGAACTATAAAAACTGCCTTTTATATGACAATATTGTGAGCTGAAATAATATTTTATACTTCTACTGTTGATGTGATGTGTAAATCAATTAATAGCATGATATTTTAAAACAAGCTAGGAAATTTCCAATTGTATTAATTGTCTCTCTTTTCTCTCTCTCTTTCCACCAAAGATTGAAAAACAAAGTTTTCAGTCTGGTGTATTGGTCTCAACCTATTTACAAAGACTTCATAATTCACTTTATTTGTTGTTTAATGCTGTTCTGTTTATTTATGTCAGGTATTTAGAGTGTCTTCCACTTGCAGTGTTAAATGTTCATTAGAATGTAAGGTTTATTGATCTTTGAAAATGTGTTCTTGCATTTTTATGACATTATTTCATGGAGTAAAAAAAATGGGGAACATGACATAAAAGGTGACAATCCATCACAATTGATTTTGGATTGTCACGAGCAATGTTCTGAACCTTGAGTTTATTGTCATTTTGTGATTCAGATGCTGAAGAAAGGTGTTTAGTTTTGCCTGTCCCTATTTCCAGAGTAAATAGCATTTTTATTGCTGTAGTTCTGGTGTTGCTTTCAACATATGTGGGGGAGTTCACTCAGTAGTTAGGGTTTGGAGCAATCGATGACCTCAACCTTCAGTACAAGCACTGCAGTAAACCAAAGCTATGTGCTCTCAAGGTTTGACCCAGCTGAAAGTTTTTGAAATAAATTCAGCATAGCGGAGTATAAAAGACCCATGAGTCAGAGTGTTCTCTCTTTTTGTCTATCACAGCACATGCTGCTGAATTAAAACTCACTGCTTCGTGGCTGCAGCGGGGTGTTAATCTTCACTTTTGTTCGGTTCTTTCTGTGTGTGTGTGTGTTGGGTTAGAAGCACTGCCAGAGCTGCTTGGCTAAAACTTTGGGGACAGTGATAAGTTGCAATGTGCTGTTTCTCATTTGCTTGTGGAGAGTTGAGAGCCAAATTACTGGGTTAAACCTGATGTCTCCTCGGTTTGTCTCCTTGTGATGTATCTCTGGGGAGTTATGGAGTCAGTTAGCAATTACAGGCACAGGATTAAACTTCCATCTCCTGGGAAGCATCTCTGTTCATCCTCTCCCTTTTCATCCTCTACTGCGTCAAACATTCTTCTAATTTTTACCCTTTCTTTATACGTACTCTATTATCCTTCCTCTCTTTGCTGTCTGCGCTCTAAATGGTCTTTGATAGAAATCCTTGTGAAATGTCTGTTTTTGCATTAATTCAAATCTATTTGTGGGCTAAATCTGGATGAACAACTTGAATGTGTCTGTGTGGTATTTGGATGTTTTCAATCTGTCAGAGTCTAAATGCAGGTTTGTTACATGTATTGTTGGTTATAAAGTCTGTATTAATCAGTAGCTGTGACTCAGGAGGACCGGTGATCGCCAAGTGTTTGTAGAGTTTATAGTCTAATCCGGCTACCTCAGCCCGTGTGGACCAGAATTTCTGAAAAGATCATATTATTTATTTTTTTCAACCTTTATTTTACCAGTATAAAAACCCTTTGAGATTAAAAACTCCCTTTTCAAGGAAGTGCTGCTGAAACAGTTTAAAGAAAATGTCGAGCTATGAAAATCAGGTACATGTCACTGACTGCCTCAAGAACTTTTGGTTTGGATGTAAAACTATAAATAAATAGATTCATGATAAATCTCATCAGTCACTACAGGACTGTTTTTGGAAATGCAAAAAGTAGCAGTTCAGAATTATAATAAAGGTAGTATTTTTTTTTTTTTTTTTGTATTTTATTAGTTGTCAAGTAAAATTTGTTTACCAAAAGGAATAGTTTTAAAGCGTCCAATTTACTATCTGGAGGGAGTCAATCTACCAAATGGGATAAAAAGTAAGTCTGAAAAAATTTACTGAATGTTGGAACATTGGAAGCTGAAAAATTGGTGCCAGCACTTAATGGCTAAGAGCAGTTAATTTAAAAACACTTTAGGAACCTTCATTTCTCATGTTGCTCCATATAGTGGGAGACTCTGCCCACCACTTTGTACAGTGTATGGAAAGTGCAAAATTAGTTCTCTAAAGAGATCCAAGATACTCAGAGCAATTCTAATGTCCATGTGACATATGCTCACATATGTCACATGTCACAATATTTGAGCTGTTTTCTTTTGCAAAAACTGAGTTGTAACTACAGCAAACATTAGAATCTGTGGAAAATGGCAAGACAGTATAGTTGTCTCTCCTTAAATTAGGGGTAGTTTGGACTTTACGTACAGTTTTAAAGCCAGTCTCTCCCATGTGCCTATGTATGTGCTCGTTGTCTTCATCTTTCTGCCAACACTGTGATGTGCTGTCAGCTGGAAGCCTGACTCCGCTGATCAGACAGCCTGTCCTCTGGGACCAGCAAAGAAACAAAACCTGACAGTGAGATACCAGACTGCTCTTCACCTAATTACATGCTCCTGCTACCTATTCTGCTGCTTTTTTCCTTATTACTCACCCATATTCAGAATTTGTTTTTACTAAAAGTACAGGAGGGCAACAAGGAACGATCAAAGCTTCTAATACATGTTCAGTTTCAGAATTATTGGTTGCTTTTATGTGATGTTTGCTGCAGGAAGCAGGACAGCACAGGTATTTTCATTAATAGTGTTTAAACTTTACTCAGGTTTAACTATTAATAGATTAAAACCATTAAAAGATGCAGCATTTACATTGCTGTTATGAAAATGTTTTTACAATATTCAAATTGCAACAGACTTAAAAATTAAAGCTAAACTAAATGAACCTAATTTATTCTTCTAGTCATATGGAGACTTGTTTCTATTTTTGTCAACTCAAATATTCTAGCCACTTGTCAGTCGTGTGTAGCACAGAATATGAAAATATGACATATAATTGAGTTTGAAAATGTGCCTCTGGATCTTGTGTTTCATGATAGAAAAACCTTTACATCCCTTTTAGAAGTCCACAAAGCACTTAGCGGTTTGGCTTTGACGTACATCCCTGGATGTTCACCGTCTTTGACTTGAAATTATCTCTCAAGTCTCGATGAAGGCTGTTTAGTTGCAGCTCTACTGTTTTACATGTTTCTTAATTTTATTCATAAAGATCCAGGTTACCTTCAGCTGATGGATTAGAAACAGGCTTGGTTATGTGTTTCTTTTGAGCGTTCTTGGGGGTGTTGAGCTTTGTGGGCAGGGGGAGGTAATGTAACCTTGAGGCATGACAAGTGCGGTAATAGGCTCCTGTCCTTGTCTCTTGACATCGACGTTGGTGTGAGAACCCGTCCATCTGCTGGTGTGAAGAAAGGACTTGGAAATGTGAAAGAACGGCTTTAGTATAAATAAAATGACACCATAAACAGGCTACTGAGGTATTCAAAGTTTATATTAAATCTAATATAAAATATTTGTACCAAGTGATATATTGTTGATGTTTACTGATTTTAAATGGCCTTCCTCTTCACTATATATGCTTGTCTGGTGGTGCTTGTCATTTTGTCGATGCTGCAGAGATCCGACTAAGTGAACTGAGAGGACATTGCAGAAATGATATTTCTGACATAATTCTAAAAGGTTTTATGTAGTGACATCTTTTTCAGAGGAGCAGGTAGTCGATACTTTCAACCACAGTTTATTTCTGTGGAAACAGGAGTCGTCTTGAAGGTGAAGGTCTGTAAGCACAAATATACTTTTTGTACACAACATTTTGCTTTTGAAAGGAAGAACTCATCATTTTTATAGAATGGAGCCAAAATAAAATTCATTTAAAGTAATATAAATCAAAAACACCTAATTTGATATTTTCTTAGCTTGTTAGCTTATGATTATCTAGTTCTTTACATGCATAATGACTGCCTACTGTACAGCTGATCAGTTTCATGTGTAACATGCCAAAAAGCAACAATTACAAGGACAACAGGTCTTTACTCTGGGGATATAAGAGAAAATCTGTTTGACACAAAGGTTAGTGAATATTTTAACTTAGCCACAGAATTCCCACATTGTTTCTGGATTCTCCTGTGCTTTCCATATACCTAGCAGAGCTAAAATGATCTATGCTTAATATATAATTTTACTCTCTGAACCCTGACTGTGATGCCGAGCATACAGCATTGTGTATCTCTTACTGAACAGCAAAGCTGCAACTGACAAACATTGTTTACTGAACATTTGTCGACTGCAAATGTTTTGGTTATCTAGCTGTTTTTGGTGAGGTTCACTCGTCATAAGGTCTAGAAGAAAACATATCCTCTGATTTTTAAAGATTTCTCTTTGAGCGTCACGTGGAAAACTTTCCATACAGTCGCTGTCCGTACAGATCTGGCTTACTCAGCTCTTTCCTGACCAAAGCAACAACCAAATCGCTGCAGGCAATGCTCCACTCAATCGATCAGTCAGCTGCTTCAATATACGGCTTTGGTCAGTGGTCAACAGATCAGACATCATCACAAGTTTTTTTCCTTAAGTCTATGCTCCTTAGAATGAAAACTGTGATCAGTCAAAATCTAAATAACGAGGTCAAACTTATAAATAAATAAATAAATAAAATCTGTATCAACCAGAATCTCATGACCGTAAATGAGGCGTGGAGGGTAAGTAGTCCAGTAAATCGAATCACTTTTTGACTCGGCCCTTTCTTCACCAGACCAGAACAACATCAGTGGTGCATCAGCAAAATATATTTTATAAACTTTTATATCTCTCATTTTGACAAATTCATTTGTACTGCCAAATATTGTTAGAAGGGAGATCATTATTGTCTTGTGAAAGGAAATGTTTAACTAACTTGCTAACTGGCCAACAAACTTATAGCTGTCATGCTTTGCTGATTAAAGGCTGATTTTATTATCCACATTCTCAGAACATACTCGAATCATTTCCTACTGGCTGCTGCCCTGGAATCAGACCACGTCCCCTTCAGACAACGACTGGATACATTCAGCCCGACTTTTTTCTATACCTTTACTTTCACATCAGGGACTGTATTACTGTTCTGTGTAACTTGATTCCTCCTCGTCTCTTGGCCTACGATAGATGGATTCCTGGTGTCCTTTTCAATTCCAGGTTTGCTTTTGTTTTTGTTGGAGAGCTGCTGTGCCAATCCTCAGCTGGATTGTTTTGTTGTGTGTATTTTTTCCTCATAGTGTGGTTGTTGTGTGTCTCTCTGGAGATCTGTTTGACAACTTACAACACCTCGGGGGTTAGAGTTTAGTGTGTGTTTGTGCTGCTTGTTACTCAATGAACTCTGGTTACCTTTGGCTGAAAATGGATGCCCAGGAATGCAAACATGGTGAGAGATTCTTCTATTCCCTTTGCTCAGTGGTACAATTTTCTCTCTGTGCAGCTGGGGTTTGAAGGCAAAGTTTTCCTCAAAACTAAACAGATAAACCTAGAATCAAATCAAACATAAAAATTAGCAGATTATAGCCAGCACTATAAGGATTTTTCCAACCATAATTAACTTCTGATTAGAATCCCATAGCATTTCATTGGGTAGTTGTTCAAACAGGATTTATTCCAGGAGAGTCTGATTTTCCTGTTATCAATCTTTCCATTAGCTGAAACCTTGTCCCTGCTGAACACAAGCATTTCCACATTGTGATGTTGCCACCACCATGTTTTGATGTTGGGATTACAGTTGTCTCTGTACATCTGCAGCACTCTGCTTGTGTATGGTCCATCATATTTTAATGTTCACATTTCTGGTTGGTTATATACGCTGAAAATTTGATGAACTCATAAGATCTATGAGTAAATGTAAACATGTGTCTTTTGAGGTTGGTTGCTTTTTTGTTTTTGTTTTTGGACACTCAAACAAGCTGCTGCTCGAATTTGAATCCAGTAAATATTGTAAACCCTCAGCTACCATATTTACCAGTACTTTTGTTTTGTTGCATGTTTTTAGTGCCATTTCAGGCATAGGAGAATTTGGATGCTTACATTTACCAGGGCAGCTTGATTCTACAAAAACACAATCTGAAGATAGTATCCTAATTATGAGCTCTTTAAAAAGCTGCCAACATTTCCAAATCCAGTGAAGACACTTCATTTCAGGAAAATTATTTAGATGTAATTGAGAAAAGTCACAGTGATAATACTGATTATGGTTTGGAAACAGGTTTTTTTTACTTTCTTTACATTAATTTATGTATCTACAAGTCAATTTTATGCATCTTTAATGGGATGTGTGACTTCTTAATGAGGTTTTGTGCATGTTTATCAATGTCATGTGGGTACTCCATAGAAAAAAACGCTCCCGGGTAAAAATTTTAATCCATAATTTATCTTTGTTGAGTGTTTCATAATGTGACTTCTCCCTTCCAGATGACTCAGGAGATGAGGAGCCGGCATCGCGGTCGGACCGCAGCGAGATCCAGGGTACCCTGAAGATACTTGTCAGCAAGCTTGATGACCTCAGCACTTGTAATGACCTAATCGCCAAACATGGAGCCGCCCTGCAGCGTTCCCTCAGTGAACTGGAAGGACTGAAAGTCCCATTGGAGGGAGGGGAAAAGATCAAGGCAGTTAACGAGAGAGCCACCCTTTTCCGCATCACTTCCAATGCTATGATCAATGTAAGTACCCCAGACTTTGCAGTTAAAAGATGCACCAGCCTTCAGTGGTCTGTATCCTGCCTGCTGCAGAAGGATTGAAGTGACAGGAATACCAGTCATCTATGATGTCCTGGCTAGAAAGTGACGAAAGATTAGATGGTCACACAATATTCCTGCTGTGGCCCGCATGTTTAGACAGGCACATTTACACCCCAACAGATAAGGTGTATCCCCTTTTATTTAACTGGTTTTATGCAACCATACTGTTTGCCTAAGTTATTTGTTCATTGGTTTTCCGAGACACACCATGTTTTACAACCTGGTGTGTTACCATAGTTTTGTTAGTGGTGAATGAGGAAGGGGTTGACGTCCCAAAGGAGCAACACTAAATATGATATGCAGTAAGGGTGACAAAAATAGCTGAAGCCCCCAACATTTCTCAAACTCTCGACACACTCTCAGAACCTGCTTGACTAAACGGACTGTAGCGAGCAAGTCCGCTACAGGACTACAAAACAAAACAGGTTTGTTTTTTTTGTTTTTTTTTCCTTTTCTGCTTTTTTATGTGGGTTTGGTCTCAGGATCTTAGTGATAACTGTCTACCTGTCAAGTATCTTTAAACTTTTTATGTGCATTACAAGCTGCTGTAAATGTATTTTAAATTTGCAGTAGCGTCTACCTGCGAGTACGAATAATTTGATGGGAAGTACATTTTGTATTCCTCAGATACAGTGTCTTGCAAATTTTCATACTCCTTGAATGTCTTCTGATGTTATGTTATAAATAGAAACTTCACCTTTGTAAATTTAAATTTCACATAGCTATGAAATGATTTCTACAAATTATTTAAAGAATAAATAATAGTATGAAAACAGTGGCTCAATGTTTAATTCAGTTTAGTCTTCATTCAACTATAGCTTATTAAGCAGTGCAACCTTTATGGTGGTTGCATTGCTTCCAACCACCATCCAGGGAATTGTAGGTTCCCTGGATCTATAATTAAGATCCAGAGAAAGCATTAGCTTTAAAAACCTCTTTAACAAAGGTTGTGTATTTAATATTCGTGTAACATTCTGGGAAAATGAGACTAAAACTGAACTTTATGTCCTTGCAAAATGATGTGCGGGATAGAAAAGAAAGCAGTATACATCAAAGAGTATACATCTAAATCTCCTTCTGATAAAGAAACTGAGGCAAGACCTGAAAATTGACATTCACCCATTGTCGCCGTTTAAATTGACTAGGCTTGAGTTAATTTACCAAGATATGTTGTGTGTGGACAATCAACATGTCCAAACACGTTTGATTGTTTGGACAATCAAACATGATTGTCCAAGTATGCAAAACTCAGAGGAAGCTGAAAGACTTTTAAAGTTTTTAATTATTAAACAAGGAAAGTTGTGTAATTTTCCTTGTACTTCATATCAATGAACTCTGTGTTTGTTAGATAAAATCAGCATAACACATAGTATAGTCTGTGGTTGTAACGTGACACTTTCACAAAACACAATCTTGATAAAGTTGAAGAGGAATGTATTACTTTTGCAAACACTTTAGAAATGTTTTCATTTTATTGTCTGCAGAATAATGGTTAGCAGTTTTACTCCTTAGCATAAAACAGTTTTTTTTTTTTGTTCTTTTTTTTGTTTTTTACAAAAACACTCACCCACTCTCACTGACCTCAGGGGTGCAATGTGTTGGATCGATTGACCGATCGATTCATGTGTTAAACACAGAAAGGTTTTTATGGAACAGCTGCTTTGCTTCCAAGGACATCCTGATTAGAGAAGCAGAAAATAGCTTTCAGAGTCGACTTGATTCATTAGAGTCTTTTGTTCAGGAGTGCTGCTTTCAAGTAACGTAGACATAAATTATGATTAGGTGATAGTCAAGCCATATTAAATTGGAGGTTCATAGCATTAAATTATGTGCTTCCACATCAGAGATGCAGTCCTGACTTGGGGTTTTGCCCTTTTGATTTTTTTTAGAAATATGAAAACAAAATCATGCAAATTGGTTTAAATTACTAATTTTAGATTAGATAATCTGTTGGAAGATACTGTTAAATTGTCATTGCATAATTTTGTATCCAAAGTAAAGTGATAGAAAGAAGGTTGACTAATTTTAGTATATCATACAATCAATTGCTGCAAGTATTTTACTGTTCTTCTACTCGGGGCTGTTTACAGAATTTTCATTATGTGTGTGTATATTTAGTTTTTGAACTACCCGGGGTATTATAGCTCCATTTTCGCTATTAGGCTGTAGAGTAAGATTTCTAATGTCTTGTGATTTTAACCAAACTTATTAAATTAATGCAAAACTCATTTTAAAGCCTGAATGTTTATGAAATAAGTCATTTTTTATTGTCTCATAAGAAAATGGAGTGAATCGTAAATAAATAGTTTTTGGATTGTTCAACTTAATTTTTTGTTTCATTTTATAAAATAAGGATATTCTAGCCTGACGAGGTTTTAATTTAGGTCAGTCAACCTTGACCTGACTTCTCATATGTGTCGTTTGTGGGTCGAGTGACAGATCGTGCATGTATGGATTTCAGAGCATGCCTCTTTGGGGTTATCATCGTTTAATCGCGTAAAAGGTTAACTCAGTTTATTTTGTGTCTGCTCAGTGTAATGTTACAGTTTCAGTTCAAAACAAGTCTAATCTTTTAACTGAATAAGTTATGTCAATTTCAGAGAACAAGTTCAGTTTATTCTTTGTGAAATGACTTAGTTTGATAAAATGGGCAATTTAATCTCAAACTGATTATTATTATTATTGATAATGATGGTAAATCTTTCTTGCAACTCCCTCCAGTCTGTTACACTGATGCTACTGATTCTCAATTCTCCAACACACCACAAGTCACATGTAGTCTGTGATCATACTGAGGAGTCAGCATTTAAAAAGTGGAACTTTCAAACATCTTAGAGATTACTTTGAGTTTCATATCATGCTTCTGCCAGAGGAAGTTGATTCATACGTCACACATAGACCTGACATTTAAGTTCAGCAATGATCTTTTGGCATTAAAAGAAGATTGCTGAAGGTAAGAGGCTTATTATCATTTCCACGAGGAAAGCTCATATTCTGTCTTGTCTGTCTCGTGTCTGAAATATGTAGTGACTTTTATTTAGTCTGTTCAAGAAATATATTTCTTTTCATTTTAAGAATTTAAGCAACAAGATTTATCTTATCATTTCAAAGGTTAGTACCATTTAGTGCAAATAAAATCAGATTTCTTTTAATACATAATCTGATTTTTTTATTTTTATTTTAAGCCATCTTGGTTTTTTTCTGATTTCTGTTCTTAAAAAATAAGAACAGAAAAGTGCTTTTATTTTTTAAGTCAAACCTAACAGAATGTTTTGGATGAGAGTTGTTTAGTTTGCATAAATGTCAATGACAAACCAGGTTTATCCTTTATAATGCTTGAAATTAACATAATAGTTTAAATTGCAAAAATGTTTATTTTTTTCAGTAAAAGCTTAAATGTCATAAGGCTTTATTACATCAATGCACTTGTTAACTCAATCAACATTCCTTCAGTGTATGGTAAACTTTTGATTGTAAGAATTTGATAATTTTTCTACTGTTTTCAATCTTGGTGTTCATTAAAATATCTATATTTTGAGAAATATTGAGCAGAACAAGTGAATTATCTTTATTTTTATTGATATTAATTTTTCTTTATTCTTAATTTTACAAGGGTGTATTAGAACAATATTTTCGCTCCTTTTTTTCTAAACTCTAACACTTACCTTTTCACATTTTACTATTAAATAATTTCCAACTACAACTAATAGATGTGTGATAAAGTTTTTCAAAACATTATAGGATCATGTGTTTATATTATGTCAGATTTCTTAGTATGGAAGGTGGTGCCTTTTCTCCACATTTATAAAAGTGATTAGGCTCAAACATCAGCAGTTCTGCACATTCTTGCAAAAATAGTAACACATTTGTGGAATTGACCAAAAAAAAAAAACAAATGTAATCCTGTGATTAGATATTCACTCTGGCAAAAACTGTCACGAGTCTGCTCAAAAGGCAGAGGTAAAATGCAACGCAGCACTTTTAGATCATTATTCCTTAGCTCTGTCCTTCTAGTAAAACCTCCGTGACAGTCACAAGGCATGTTTCAGTGCATGAAGTTGACTGAGATATGTTATTCAGGTTCAATGACCCTTAGGCTTAATATGAGGAAGGCCGTGAAAATCCTGATGCAGAGCCAACAATTGCTGACATGTAATAAATATCTGATCTAAAGTAACCTCCTTCCAGCAATAAAATCAGAATAGCAACGATGCCCCCTCTTGGCTCGGCCGGTCAATAGAAAGGTCCCGGCTGTGCGCTCAGTGGTTTTAACTGCAGCTCATCAGCACAAGCTATTTGCTCAGAGGTACATTCAACACAGCAAGAGGAGTCTATAAATGCCTTCCACTCTAAATAACTTTACTAACTACTTGTGCTGCTAAAGAACGTTGATTCCAGTGATTGTCTGTATGGTTGTTTTGCTTTTAATTCTTACTTTGGCTAAAGGTCATTCTAGACTTTTATAATTTTTTTTTTTTACACACTTTTTTTTTTGTTTAAACTCAGAATCTGTAACATGAACACTTTCAGAGTATATCATACGTCAGACATTTTAGCTATTGCTCTGTAACCGTCCCCATGTTCATATCTCCCTAAGGCATGTCGAGACTTTTTGGACCTAGCTGAGACTCACAGCAGAAGACTGCAGCGGGCACTGCAATACGAGCGAGAGCAGCGTACCCACCTAGAGGAGACGATCGAACAGCTCGCGAAGCAGCACAACAGCCTTGAGCGAGCGTGGAGAGAAGGACCCACGCATTCTTCCAACACACCCAGTGCCCCAACCACCAGTCAGAGTGAGAGCAAATGTCTACTATTTCCTCACATGGACCTCAGAGCAGTCCTAATTTCATTGGCTAAAAGTCATGTGTAGCCTGTGGCTGTACATTACAGAGCATCCTCGTGTGTAGGAAGAACATTTTAAGTTGTCAGATGGTTTAGATTTGGAGACAAGGAAGTTAGAGGTAGTAATTACATTATCTAAAAATATTAATCAATGGTCTGTTTATTCAAAAACTGTTGAACCAAAATTCTCTCACATTCGGTAAATAATGACACTTTTAATACAAAGTTCACATTCAAAATGTCTTCGTTATGACAACTTGACATTAAAGAAGAAAACATGGTCTGGCATAAATTTGTTATAAAAGTATTACTGATTAAACTTTACCTTTAGTAACATAAAGATACATCATTTTTAAAGTTTAATACTTTTATAACAAATTTATGTCAGATCATAATTTCTTGTTAATGTCAAATTGTCATATCAAAGACATTTTGAATAATGTCAACTTTGCATTAAAAGTGTCATGATTTACTGAATGACAGTTTATGACAACAGTCATAAATATTCATGAAGACTTACACATGTTCATGACAGGTGTTATGTCATGTTTATGACAGCGTCATGACAATCTTATTCACAACCCGTCAAATAAAGTGTATTCTTTAACTTTAACTGCAGGGAGTGAAAGGGTGAACAAAGAAGACGCAAGTGACGAAGATGAGGATACTGAGTACTTTGATGCCATGGATGAATCCACTGCGTTCATAACAGTGACTGCCAGTGAAAACACAAAACACAAGTCAGTCTCCATGCAGTTTTTGTCCTTGGAAAAATAAATGAATTGTATTGAAGTGACAAAAGCACAAAAAAAATCGCATTCATAAGAGTCGGCAAAAGATGTCATTTTTTTAATTTTTTTTTTAAATATCCAGGGAGTTTAGAGGTTTACCTGAATTTAATACAAACTTAAATTTTACCTTTATCTTTGATCAATAAGACAAAGTTTTTGTGTCCTTTTCTCATTGATTTTGCTTTTGTTTGCTCTTTGTTATAAAGAATTCAAATGTAATTTATAATTCTTCTCAAAAAATGTATCACCTATTTTGTCAGAGTAGAGACAAACAGCAGTGGACAGAATCTGTCTTCTAGACACTCTGTCTTTTTTGGGAGGATGTCTGCATTTTCTAATCCTCAACCTTTTATTCTCGGGGTTTCTCAGTAGTTTTTGCAGCTGTCTCAGAATTTTCTGTGTTATGCTCAATCTATAAGGGTGTAGCCGGCATATATATCAAAATAAAACCTGCATATTGCCAGAACCCAGGACTTCCTAATGGAGCATTTCATTTTCACTGCCAGATCTGTGTATTTTAACTCACCTTTCAGCTGTTGTTTTGTTGTGGTAGATTGGTGTATCCCTCTATTCCAGAAGCATCATTAATGGTCAATATTGCTGTTGAAGAGCTTTGTTTCTACTCTGTAATTTCATTTATTTGCTGTGAATTTCATAGGCACTTTCATTCATTTATTCATTTGTTCATGCAGAAAATTTTATTTTATTCCAGGCGATCTCAGAGTAATTTAAGTGCAGCAAGTGGAGGCCAGGCCAGTGACTGGAACCAGGAAGACCATGTAAGTGTCTGTCCTTCTAACAAGAATGAATAATATGTCTGGCATTTGAAAATGCTGCTGACTGCTGTGCTCTCAGTATAGATCCATTTGTTTTTCTACAGGGCTGACACTTCATTGATTTACTTGTAGAACATTTACACTTGCTGTTCTCACAGTCTTTCACTCACACACACACACACACACACCCACACACACACACTGCTTATTTCAGTGTTTCCTACCATCATGTCGTCAGCCCTGTGGTGCCACAGATGTATGGTTTCATCATTGCATTAAATTTTAATAAGTCAAAGATCTGTTTTTTTTTTTCCCAGTCTATGTTTTAATGTCCTCATTTGAGTCACAGTCTAGTAACAGGTTGAAAGCCCCTTCATGGCGACTGAAACCATTTTTCTGAAACATTTGGGTCCACTCCTATTTGTTCTCGCCATCCCAGATGTCTCCAATCTGTAATGATGTCTCGGCGAAGGAGCCGAAGCGACACAGGCAAAGCCGGACCCAAATCCCAGACAAGCCCAATTATTCCCTAAATTTATGGAGCATCATGAAGAACTGCATCGGCAAGGAGCTCTCTAAAATCCCAATGCCTGTAAGTCTGAGCCATATGTTGCCCTGTAAAATATTGACACCTTTAGCAAAATAGAGCCACAATCTTTAATTTATTTCATTTTAATTCTGTGTGACAGACCAACATAAAATAGCATGCATTTGCAAAGTGGAAGGACAATTCCACATATTTGGATTTTGATTGGATGGATGGAGCTAAATACTTGAGAGTGGACTTGAGATTCCCCTTTCAGCTGAACAACACTCAGCATACAGCCAGGATGTATTGGGATGTTTACAGCCAAATCAGATGAGCTAATGAAAGTCTAGTCTTAAATCCTAATGAGAATCTGTGACAGGACTTGATGATAGATCCTTCCAGATGTTCTCCATCTTACCTGATTTTAAATTTTGAAAAGAAGAGCGAAATGTTTTAGACTTTAGATCTGTAAAGTTGTAGAAACATATCCTAAAAGACCTACAGCTGAAACTGTTGCAAGGTAATCCTACAAAGTATTGGCAAACAGGAGCTGAATACGAATGCGCACCATGCTTTTCTGATTTTTACTTTCAATTTCTTTTCTATAATACCAGTTAAGATATATATTGAATTCTCTGCTCTATTATGAGGCTGAATTCAATTATATTACGTTTAACATGACACACGCTCTTTTGTAAAATGTAGTGAGTTTTACAAATTGTGATTCTCCGACAGGTGAACTTTAACGAGCCCCTGTCCATGCTGCAACGTCTCACCGAGGACCTGGAGTATTACGAGCTTCTGGACAAGGCGGCGCGCTGTGAGTCTTCCCTGGAGCAGATGTGCCTAGTTGCGGCCTTTTCCGTTTCCTCGTACTCCACCACCATCCACCGCACAGCCAAGCCCTTCAACCCCCTTCTGGGAGAGACCTTCGAGCTCGACCGCCTGGAGGAATTTGGCTACCGCTCACTGTGTGAGCAGGTAACAGCTACAGAAAAACTTTGGTTGCACATTTCTCAAAGTGCTTACTCGCATTTGACTCATAAACTGGTGTCAAGTCCTATTTTTCAAACAGGTTACTGTATTTTAAAATAGCATAAAGTGATTTCATTCTCTGTCCTTTAGCCTTTATGTCCTTGTTTCTGACTAGGTGAGCCATCACCCGCCTGCAGCTGCACATCACGTGATTTCCAGAAGAGGCTGGACCTTGAGGCAGGAAATCACTATTGCCAGCAAGTTCCGTGGCAAATACCTCTCCATTATGCCTCTGGGTAAGACAACCACTAAAACGGTTATGTATTTGGTGAGAAATGCAAAAACTCAGGTATCTGTTCCAGTCAGACTGCACATAGATTTGCATTGGAGTTTTAGGACTGGGTAATAGAAATGTATGTTTTGTGACATTTTTTTTTCTTCTTCTTCTAAGGTTGTTTAGTAGCATTAGCACAAATGATGTAAACTACAGACCTGCTTGCATAAATTAGAGTTTCATCTGCAAAAATAAAACCAAAGCAGAATATATTATCTATATTGCTTTGGAACACAAAGAGGTTTGTTGGGTCAAATAAATAGAAAAAAAAGATTTGTTTGGTATTGAATCAGCCCGGTGATCCATATGCCTGGTTTTTCTCACTTGGTGTTGGGTAGCTTCAGTGTGATAAAAAGAAAAAAAATAATGGGAATCATTCCTTGTGAAATGGATGTCATAAATATCCTGGGGTTATGACTTATTGGATGTAGATAAAAGTGACTCTGTACAGAGCATAAATACTAGAAAAAATTGTTTTTGAATCATAAATCCAATCCTACAGTCTTCATTTCACCTTTTTATGATAGCAGGAAGCTTAACGATGCTATTGTAATGATTCCCTCCTATAATATTACTTTGGTCCTTTTGTGTCCCCAGGTGCCATTCACCTTCATTTCCACTCCAGCGGGAACCACTATGTGTGGCGAAAGGTCACATCCACGGTGCACAACATCATTGTGGGGAGACTGTGGATTGACCAGGTTATTGACCTCATCTCTTTATAAACGAGTCGTTTCTCTGCAGTACTGCCATGACCTTCAAATCTATCCTTTTTTTTCAGTAAATGTATTTAGTGCAGAGTATCAAATAGTGAAACATGGATTCATTTTAAATGTTTATTTATTAACAACTTGAGAAAACATTTTTTAGAGGACCCAGATTCACATGCAAGACATGTGACTTTGGGTCCATTTCTATTACTTCCCCTCATTAAATTATTTTTTCATTTTTACTATCTTGTAGGACATTACTCTGTTAGTGTCTCTTTATATGTCTACAACTTTGGAGAAAATCATAAAAGAAAATGTATTTATGTATTCTCAGTATTTCAAAAGGTTTACAACAGCCTGAATGTGTTGGAAATGTGTCTTGTTTTTAATCACGTGTTTTTGCTGCCATCTGCTGCTGAAAAAGATAAGTGAACAACTTAAATATTAAGCCACAAACTGTTGTCAGACAACCTCATCAGTCAAGCAGCCAAATAAAAAAAGCTAGACGTGGTTACGATGATGACTTTGATGATGAGTATTAATTAATCCATAGGTTTCCTGCTGGATCTGGATTGCAGAGACATTTCAGAGCTTTTACTTTAGAGGCCTCCCACAGCTCTTCCAGGAAGTTAACTATGCCCTGTAGTATCCTTCATGAATAAGAATGTCTTATTCTGGGTGTGAAGGACACATTCTGGGTCTGAACTATTCAAGATTAAACATCTTGAATACTTTTTATGGGACAGATGCTTAAGCCATCTGCAGTCTCTGTGCAGAGAAACATTGTTTGCTGCTCTGAGGCCTGAATAACATTTGTGGTGTTAATTATGCTACCAAATTTGACACTATTTGCCCTTTAAGTACACATACAATCTTCCAACAGACTCCGTTGACTGAGGATAGTTCTGTAGGAGGCCGGCTGCCCATATAAATGCAGCAAGTTGTTATAGGTCAAGTCTTAATTGGCCCAAAGCAAACTGGTAATGCATACTGCGGTAGTAGCAGTTCAGTCGTTCTGCACGTCTACACAGCAAGACTGAAGCTGCCAGGATTATGAGCTCACCCACAAATTACGAAAACGGGTGGCCGTCTGGAATCTTCCAAACAAGGATGGGAAAAATTAGTCTTTAATTTATTATCTAAGAGAGAACTCAGTTTTGTCTTTGATTTTTGATTTGCCTCATCAAAATTTAGAGTTTGATCTACCAATAGGTGATGGTCTGCCTGCACCAATCAAGCGTCACTCACCTCGGCATGCCAAATGCTAGCGCCCCATCGAACTGCAGCATGACCCAGTTTCTGCACGATAGCATCAAGCTGATGAATAGAAAAGACTGAACAGGTCCTTTAGGACTCTCTGCTATTCAGCAGAAAGTAATGCATCATGATCCATCAAATTTTCAAGATGATAATTACCCAGAGAGGAAAATTTGTTGTTTAGGCATGGTGTAGTTATGGGAGTGTTTTCCTCATTAATAATGTTCTGTATGTGTTTACTCAGTCGGGAGACATTGAAATCATCAATAACACGACGAAGGAGACGTGCCAGCTGAAGTTTATACCTTACAGTTATTTCTCCAGGGATGTCTCACGAAAGGTAAAGGCTAAACATTACACACTTTGCTTATAATTATGATCAAACAGTTAAGAGGTAAATTAGCTAGAAAGCATTTTTACATTTGCAACCACCAATCCCAATGAATGCCTCAAATTTGGAATTTATGAAAGAGTGGCTAAAAGAAACCCACAAGGTGTCATGCTGTGGGATTCTTTGCTTCAGTATGAACATGAAACTAGTCAGACTTTGAGAAAATAGGTGTTAAATACGGGCTAATCTTCCTGTTGAAGGTTGCAAATTCTTAGCTAAAACACTTTAGGTTCAGATCAAACTCTGGTCAAGTGTTATTTGTCCAGGACTTCAGATTTTACAGAAGAACAAATGGGCACAAATTACAGTTTTGTGCAAAGTTGGTAGAGACTTCTTGTGAGCTATAGCTGCAAGTCGAGACTGTGGGAGGCGCTGTACGTCTGTGGTTTATTTTTTATTATTACATGTTAAATCAATTAAGCTTCTTTTTTTTTCTCTAAAATTTATTTATGCTTTAACATGAGGCACAATGTAGAGGCAATGCAATAGTCATATAGTTAACAGTGTACTGTAAATTATTTAAGCTTCTTTAAAGTTTGGACAGTATTTTATGGCCATGGATCCTTGCATTTGGTTGAGATTTGTAGTAATCTTCTAAAGTTTCAGTGGTGTCCACTGACATTTCTAACAAACAAAGTACATGATGCCATCTCACCCCCAGGTAACAGGTGTGGTAACAGACAGTGGAGGCCAGGCTCATTACATCCTCTCTGGTACATGGGATGAAAAAATGGAAAGTGCTAAGATCATTCACAGCAGCGAAGGGCGCAGCGGATCAGAAGGAAAGCATAAGACAGTCTATCAGACCTTACCCCCCAAACTCCTGTGGAAGAAATACCCTCTACCGTAAGCCTCTGCTCCACAAATCAGACGACTGCTATTTATGAGTCATAGCTGTTGAGAAAAGGGCTGCGGCGTCCAATCAATACGACTGAATGTAAAACATCGCAATGTGACTCTGGCCAATTCCCTCTCACTCTGTCAGGGAAAACGCCGAGAACATGTACTACTTCTCTTCTCTGGCTCTGACACTGAACGAGCCGGAGGACGGGGTGGCGCTGACCGACAGCCGGAAGAGACCCGACCAGAGACTGATGGAGGACGGCCGGTGGGACGAGGCGAACGTTGAAAAACAGAGACTAGAAGAGAAACAAAGAGCTGTGAGACGGCGAAGGGAAGCAGAGGCCACAGATGCACTGGATGAAGGTACGTCTTATATAGCAAGGAGTTTGGTTTTCGAAGGAAGTGAGCACTTCATTCAGCAGTTTTCTTTTGGGTTTTTTTGTCAAAAGCCTGTTTGGCTGTTTGGATGTCAAACTTATTTTAAAATGCATACATGAAGAGATGAAAAGTAAATGTTTGAGGGTGAATTTCTTTATTATAATCCGGAACTCAGACCTGGAGGGATCCATCTAGACTGTCCCTGTTGGACAAGTGCAGGTTTTTATTCAATGTACCCATGACTTGTCTTTCTTTTCCTCCCTCTGTTGATGGTCAGAGTGTGATTATGACTCTGGTGAGTGGGGGTTGTTCTGTGCCCCTCTTTTGTGCATCCCACACACACACTCTCTCCATCATTTTGTGTGTCCTCTGTGTGCTCTGCCTCTGGATCTGCATGATACTCTTCTCATGTCGACTTCTTTAAATAACAGCTCAGGAAAACACATGACTTTTTCCTGCATACGTGTGCATTTTCACTCAGAACTGGCCTACAATACATGCTGACTTGAGTACAGAGCCCTGCAAAAAGCATTCATACCTCTGATTTAGATTTTAATTTGTAATAAAATGTCGAACCCATCAATTACTTTCCACTTCGCAGCAAAGCACTACTTTGTTTTGATCCACAAATAAAACCTCAGGAAAGCACTTTGAAGTTGTTAAAAAATAAGAGGAAGAGGGTTGTGATTTCTTTTAAGTAGTATAAAGATGCACAATTTGGAAAAATAAATGCTGAGCTAATTTTAGATATTTATTTTTTAAAAAAGAAAGTAAAACCCGTGCATCAAAAAGCTGAAGCTTCTCCTCTTTTCCAACCGGTTTGACATAAGATGTACAATGACTCTGTTATTTTATTTATTTATTTTTCTCTGATCTTAATTTTCTGTTTGACGTTTCGTTCCTTAAAATCCTCATTCAAACTTGTTACAGCTTGGTCCACATTTGGAGCTAACCCAAATGTAGTGCACTGACACCGATTGCTTCTCATCGAAACACATTTCTGTTTTCCTCAGTAATTATTTGCAAGCGTGCCTTTTCCTCCCTGCGATTTGTGGACAAAGTTTCTGAAGTAAAATCTGTGCTTGATCCTCAGGCAGAGACTATGAAGGATACCAGCCGCTGTGGTTTCACCAGAGGAGGGACTCGATCACTGGCGAGACAAACTTTGTGTACAAGGGCGGCTACTGGGAGTCGAAGGACAGACAGGACTGGAGCATGTGCCCTGAAATCTTTTAGCTCAAGAGCTCGTCTCAGATGACACCGATCTCATCGGACAGGGAGCCGCCCGGCCTCTGGGCTGCGGGCCGTAGAACAAAGCCGGCTTGTGAGCACCACAAGGACCTATAGGAGTGTGAGAAAGTGTGTTTCACACAATATCTGATTACACATTACCTCCAAAAGTGTTTTTGTTTATTTTGAACTTAGAAGACGGGGCGTTCCCTCTGCAGTCCTCCCTGCACAGTGCTGATTTTCTGCTGCTCCTCAAATAAACTCAGTGCACTTTTTCAGAATTGACTCTACTACAGATTAACAGCAACTGGACAAAAATTTCATATGAATGCCGATTCTTACTGGTGTGAAGAAATTATCAAGAGCCACAACTGAAACACAACAGTGTTGAATATACATGTCAGTGTTTCCTCTTAAAGACAAATGACCTCACATGTCAATTCAGTAAAACCCTTAATCTCAGTAATCCCAGTGAACTATAAAACCTAACTGACTCCCTGACTACATGGAGAAGATTACAATCAGGTTGATTTACAAAAAAAGTCTTAAAAATATTGATAAGACCGATTATATGCTATACACTGAACTACTGAACAGTTTAAATGCAGATCAGACAGCTCAAGTGCAATTATAAGAAAATCATTAGAAAGGAAAATTGAATTTTGAAGTGAATAGTTTTTAAAATATGAATGCCAGGCTGCCAAAAATCTCTACTACAATATATTAAATAAGTAAATAATTAAGTGAAAGTAGTTAGTCAGATTTTGTACAAAATATTTTTTTTATTTAATTGATATATCACATGCCAGAAAGCTATTTTATTTGAAGTGAAAGTTGATGTTTCTCTTAACTCATGACTATAGAGATACAGTTTTTGTTTTTAGGAGACTCTTTATGTAGTCTGAGGAAAATGACATTTAATGGATACTTTATATAAATATTTTAAATTAAAGTTGCCTCTTTGATCTGTCATCCAAAGATCCTCCAGATATTTTTCCATTTGTGATTGTGGGTAGCTAAATTATATAGGAGTGGTGGAAACATTTAGGTGGCACGCAGTGTGTTCCACATTTGTGCCAGATCAAAACATTCATTTCACATTTACTGAACTCTTCATTAAGGCCTTTGAAAGCACTTTTGGCTGTGGTTCATTGTAACTGTGCATCTCAGCTTGTGAGTCGAGAACTGTGCCAGCCGTGGAATAATTTTTGAACAATGTAGAAAAAAACAGATCAAATGTTTTTACATATTGGAGTTGAAACTGCTTGTAATCACCTTCACCAATGTTATGTCACTAAATGAGGGCCGGTCATTTCACCTCTTTGCCAGTTCTCATCTTTCAAAGCTTCTATCATTTAATTTATTTTGCTGAAGAATATTTTGCACCAAACATGTTTCAGTTTCTACTCACCTGGAGAACGTTTCACTCCTGCTTTGATGACAAATGGTTTGAAGGAATTTCTGTCATAAACAGAAATGACTTTATTGTATTTCTACAAGATATTGTTGTAGAAATAATATATCGCTCACCATATTTTATCAGCTTAATGGCCTACATTAAACCAATATGAATAGAAAATGGGTCTAATTTCAAACTCTGTACATATACAATCATAGATGGGAGCTCACCATTTTATAACTATCCCCTTAGTTTGTTATGTGGTTAGAGTTTATGACTAAAATGTTTGTTATTTTTGTGTGTGTGTGTTTTTTTTTTTTACAAGTTATGAAGGAATGTCATGACCAGGTGTAGGTAAATCTGCACATTTGAATTGATGAAGTTGTGAATTAACCTGTGGCCTCCTGAACAGATTTTAATTGTCCAATTTAAATAGAGGGTGCAACTCAAGGGTTTATCTGATCAGAGTCAAAAACCTTTTCATTTTTGCACTTTTTTCTCATTGACTTTAGAGCGACCATTTTCACATGTGCCAACAATCACAGGCGTCTGCGTCGAAACTCTAAAAGGTGGCGCACCTCTAGACTAAAAGTGAGTGCAGATGGCCTGAACTGATGTTTAGAAATCTCCCCTCTGCGCATGTTCTTTACCTTGTTTTCTGGTGCTCACACACAGCCTCGCCCTCTGTAACCCCTTGGTGATTGTACAAAAAAAAAAATCTGCACCTTATCACTGACGCGTTTGTTAGTTCTTAGATCATTCAGCCTGCTATTTGTTGGTGTTTCTTACTTGAATCCCACCAACTCTTCCATCAGCAATGGCTCTGAGATTAGAGGGAGTCCCGCCTGTGCGTGACCCCGGAGCGGCCTGCGCGCGGCGCTGCGGGCGGATTCAGCTGACAGGCGGGTAAAGATGATTGCAGAGGCAGACAGGGCTGGTTCCTGTTGCGCTCCGGTCGGCTGCAGCCACAGAGGATTGCCTCAGCTGCTGCTGCTGCTTCGACACCAAATCATAACTCCTTCACTGTTTGCGAACATGCTGATCTGGGATCAGCACACAAAGATACACAGAGTCTTTTTGCCTTTAACTGACTGAACAAGGGAACGAGTTCCCTGACCTGTGCACTACGAGTCTATGGAGACAAGAGTTTTAAAAAAAAATGAGTTAGTATTTTTTTGTAATCATTGTTAGGAATGTAGAAAGTATAGCTGGAGGTAATTGTACCTACCGTCGAGTCAGTTTGTGTGAATATTTTGTCATAATATTGTAAAAACGATTAATAGATCTACTAAACTATGTATGGAGCATCTGTACAGAAATTACAGAGCCTGAAGGATTTATTGTCACTTTTAACTTCTAACCTGAACTGATTCTGTCTGAGTTAACCCTGAGAAACCTGTAATTTGGCCAAAAATCTGTCTTAACACAATAAAATGTGCTTTTGATAGAGTCCTTAAGGCTCACATGTTAGAAATGTTTTCCTCTGATGTGATGATGTGGAGAAAATAATATCCTTCCCATTTGTCCTGATTGATTGAAGAAGATTTTTGGTTTGAGAATACAAGATCATAAAATGACTTTTGTGAGTTTATTTTGTGATTTGACACTAATGAATCAAAGTCCTTCCAATGTGCATTCTCTCATAATTTAATTGTATATACAGCTCTGGAAAAAAATCAAGAGACCTCTGCAAAATTGATCAGTTTCAATGATTCTACTTTATATAGGTTTATGTTTGAGTAAAATGAACGTTGTTCATTTATTCTATGAACAACTTAGAACATGTCTTGGAAATTACAAGCAAAAAGTTTGCCTTTATTTGCAGAATATAAAAAATGATGCAGTGCTTTCAGACTTCAAATAATGCAAAGAAAGCAAGTTCATGTTCATTTAGAAACAATACGAATATTTTATCTCACAAAGAGTTCATAAATCAATATCTGGTGGATTAACCAGGGGATTCTCAATTTGGTTCAGTGCAGTGCTCTCATTTTTTCCAGAGCTGTATATTCATACATGTAAAATTAAAATATGAGATGACACAAAAATACGTGCATATCATCTTATATTTCATATGGCAATACATGTCTGTCAGACTGCATTACTGGACTCTGACAGAGTAAAGGATGAGCATGATGCACACTCCATAGGCCAAACTATAAGAGTTTAAAGAAAGGCGACACCCAGCTGAGTTTCAAGCCCCCACACCTCCACCAGTCCTCCCACCCAGAGGCAGAAAGAGGCTCGGATGAGGCCATGGCATCAGGATGATGCCATGGCCTAAGCAGCTTTTGGATCCGACTGAGCACAGAGGTTGCCCTGGACTCCCAAGATGGGACCAAGAAAACCTGGGGCCACATAGAAATACACAATCAGCCCTCTTCTCATCAGCCTGCCAGCAGCAGGAGCAGAAGCCCAGGATAAACCCAAAATGACATGCTAGTATTTGACCCCACTGAGGAGACGGCCCGATCCCCTGCAGAGTTTATCCCCCAAATTGTCTTGGTTCTCTCAAAACCATAAAATGAAGAGTAGTGAGAATTTAGATGAGTCAATCCAAAATATGAAGTAATTCTTAAACCAGCAGTGGATGAATGCAGGCATGAGAGAAACAGACAACACATTTTGAGGTGTTTTAATTCTTAGATTCCCTCTCTGAACAAAAGGAAAGTGAGCTGAACAAATCACCTATAGAGGGACGTGTGGCCCAAGTGATCCCAGGATGCACCTGACTGTCCAGGCATCCCCACTGAGCAACTGCAATGCGGGGCAAAAACAAGAGGTACAATAGAAAATGACTTCATGTGATGTTTGAGTTATTGTACATCTTAATAGTCATGATGAGCTTGGAATTATTTGGATCAGTATGTTTCAGAATATCACGACTTCAGTGGCTGATGGTGAAGTGACCTGCATTGGCACCTGCAGAAACAGCCCTGTGAATGTTCAGATCCATTCAATAAATTAGAATTAAAAATCTATGTATTTATAAGCTTTATCACTAAGTGAATCTCATTATACAGATTAATTACACACAAATGGATGGTTTCCAGCCTTTATTTCTGATAATTATGGTAATTTTCCTCTTACATAACATTTAAAATTAGAATAATACATCAGATAAGTGAGAAAAAAAGAATAAAAATATGTAAGCTTAATAAAAAATGTCTTCAATACCTGCTTGTAAAGGTACTTATATGACTGTAAGTCTGTCAAAGTTGTTAATGGTTCACTCTGAGCAGCCTAAGTGTCTGAGTAGTCAAAAAACAAATAGACATTTCAAGTTCAAAGTTAATGAAAAACGTTCAAAGTTTTTCATGAACTCACTTCTCCGTCTCTTTCTTCTCAAGGGTGCCATTATTCTCATGTTGGTATCTGCGTGTTTCTATCATGAACATAATTCATGAGAGATGAAGATGGTTCCTCCTCACTAGCTGCTGCTCAGATCTGTGGCAGAATAAAAGGTTGATGGTTAGAGATCCATTTTGCCTTTTTTGACTGAAAGCATCGCCGCACAGAACCTTTGTACTAGAGAAGTCATCATAGTGACCAGACACACGTTTTGTTAAACGTCTCTGCTGAGGCTTAAAACGGCGATGACGGCACAGAATATTAGTGACCTGGAGGCATGAGGAACACTGCCATGAGAAATGAAAGTCTGATGCATCAAACTTTATAACAAGATAGCTGAGTTGCCTTCCAAGGCGTTTTCCCCTCTGAAAAGGGACGAAGGAGAAATTTGAACACATTCTTCTTAATAATTGACTTGGTGATTGTTTTCTGCTTCAGAAGAATGTGTGCAGTGGTTTGATTGTGTGAGTCAACAATGTATTTTATTCTTTTTACCCCATTCAATCAAACATGTTTCACATAATATTTTTTTTTTGCGGGGATCAAATGTTCAGCAGAAAGTCCCTAAAAGTCCAACAAATGTCCTGGATTATTAGTTTCCTCTGTGGATTCTAGTCAGAATAGAAACTAATGTTAGTGCTTGTTTTTCTTTTCAGCTCAGGCTGCACATGCGCAAGCGGGAGCTGTTTAACTGTTTCCATAGCATCTAGTTTTCCCAGATTTCCCTGAGCAGCAGCAGCAGCAGGTTTTCTTCAGCCACTGCAGGAGTCAGGATCTGGAGCAACTTTACTCACTTTGCCTGCTTAAAGGTAAGCGACAAGGCAACTAATAGCAAGTTCTCGCTTGCTTCCTTTTTCTCCTTCTTACTTTCTTTATTCCCTTCTCTCTTTCTGTCTTTTTCTTTCTTTCTTAGCTCTGATGTTTACCAATCTGCATTTTGCTACTAAATAATTTCCAACAGAATCCAGGGGAGCTAAAAAGTATTTAGCAGGTTTGTTGGCACCAAATCAAATATGTCTGTAGATTAAAAAATAACACAAGTGTGAGTTTGGTTTTGTCTTACTGTGTTATAAGCATGAAGCTACAGAGGTTTTCAAGTCAATGCAAAAATCTTGCTTTAAAGGATTTCAATAAAACATTACACTCTTTGTCTTTAAAGCTCATTTAGCAGTGAGGGAGAAACTGAGAGTCTCCTTGGTGAGAGCCAACAAACTGACCAGGTTTCCTTGTCAACTGGGCAACAACATTCCTCACTCTCACATGAATCCTGGCTGCCAGTCGGCCTGAAACACTGATTCATCCTGGGGACAGAAATCTATTTGGTATGAGAAAAACCGCTGACTGTTTCTCTGCAGATTCAGGGCATGGCTGACTGCTACGAAGAGGGCAGAGAGACAACAGAGATCAGCAAACTGCTTTGCTCCGGTCAGGAGTTTTGAAGCATTCTTTGTTGCTCACTCTGTTGTAAATTTGCTCCTTACGTTTGACCGCCGTTTCCTCTCCTGGATGCAGATCAAAAAGATGCTGTTCTCAGCCCAGATCCTCTGACTCCCAGACCGGATCACTGTGACCGCCTCCTAGACGCGATAGATCAACAACTTGATCAGCTGCAGGTCTGCTAATGCTCTCTTTTTTGTCCATTTTCTCTCCCATAATATTTTAACTAAAAGTTATTTCAGCAAATATCCATAATCTGCATTTTTGCAGATTATGTCTCCAAAACCAAAAAGCAATGCGGTTCCCACCTCAAAAAATGGAAAAAACGGTAATGTATGTCATATATTCACCAGAGAACAAGTGGCATTTTTCTTTCCACTCAAGTGACAACAAATATTTGGTTTTTATAATCTCCTCTGAGGGGGGTGGGTGTCTGAAGCAAAACTCAAACTAATGAAACCTGCATTTCATTGCACAGGCATAAAAAAATTCAACGGTGATACTTTTATTAGAAAAAACATTTTTTCAAAACGTTTCCCCTTTTGTTTCCTTGCAGGCGCATACACATGCAGAAGTTAATCAGTAGGTGTCGAAGCAAATAGTTAAGCAACATTATGAGGATGTACACAAAATATCAATATTTATTTATTTACTTTTATTTATTTAAAACAAACTGAACTCACCCTGAGTTTGCGGAGCCCATTTTTGCTGCATTTCTACTTCAAATCATAGTAAACGTCTCTCCCAGTTTTGCACCAATAAACTGACTTTATCTTTTTTTTTTTATTATTTCAAAAAAGCTTCAGCTTTTATTTTTGAAAAAAGAAAAAAAAATTACACATAGTTTTTGCATCAACTCCACAATGATGCACTGGTTTTAGTTCTTCCTCTCATAATGTAAATGTATGACATTGCAGTTTGTTGTTGCAATGTTTTCTTCTCTCCCCCAGAAAGTATGCTGACATTCTGGGACGTTTCTGTAAATAACAAGGAATGCAGAAGAAGTCTGGATGTGATCCTCAGGGGCAAAGAGGAAACTGAAGTTTGTCGGGATCAGGTTGTCTGGAGGCTTCAGAGGCTTCTTGGAGAGACACTTCCTCTTTCAGAGAGGATCTGCTCTGAGGAATGTGGAAGAAGCTTCAAAGGGGAGACGACTGACCTGTCTCCATTTAGAAATATGGATCAATTAGACAGGGAGAACAAGGCAGAGCGGACAGAAATGTCTGACAGTGACACTCCTGAAAATGATCAAAACTGGCAATGTCCAGAGAAAAGAAGGTTGGAAACAAGTGACATGGTGATGCCTCGTGGTTTGCAGTCAGATAAATCTGATCCAGAAAGGGAAGACGGTGCGTTTCTTTCTGACAGCTGTGGGGAAAACATGTCGCATCGTAATGAGAAGGCAGGAGCCAGAGAGAGAAACAAGACACCACAGAGGCCTGCAGACAGCAGCAGCGGTAGGTGCTTTCTGACAACATGTCGTCATGCATCTTCTGAGTTTTTCCAGGTGGCGTGAATGAAGCGAAAAAATTCTCCCCTGCACAGCTGGACGTCGATCTGTTTATCCTGACGTGTTTTTGGTTCCAATGAGTTTCTCTACAGTTGCATAACTATTGTGTTTAACTTGATAGTTTATCCTTGATGAGCGACATTTAATTTCCCTTTGGGATTACTAAAGTAGTTTTGAAGTTTTTATTTTATTGTTATTTGAGTTGAATTTTTTTCATTGAATGACTTTTAAAGGTTTAGCTAGATAGAGGTTGGTGTAAAAAATGTCTCTGCATACATTACACAAAAACAGATAGTGCCCATTCAGAGCCACGGAAAAAAAACAAATAAAGTAAACCTTCATTCCAGGATTTCACACAATCTCTGGGTATCTATAGAGATACCATGTTAGATATCTGTTTAATTAACAATCATCTTGTGGAAGCTGTTGTATTAAGTATTGAATCTGAAAAATCAGATAAAAAAAACAAAGCAGTAAAATCTGTAAAAGGATTATTTATTGGTTAAAAAGGACATGGCAGACATATCTCAACACAAAGAGAGTGTTTGAGACTGTGTGAGCCAAGACAAGAAAAAATTCTACTGAAATAGCAGAAGATATTAACCCTCTCAGGCTCAAATTACTTGCAAAGACTAGCTAAGTAGCACTGAGCTGTTGGAAATCTGCAACATCTGCCTGGAGAGGGTTAAAATAAATTGTTAGCATTTATCTGTGGTCAAACTTCGTTCAGACTCTTTATGAAGAAACATCACAGTTTTGCTGGGAAGTAAAAAAAAAAAATGAATCATCGTCTTTGCTTTCTATCTTTGATCTCTGGAAGAAAAAAAATGTGAAATGGGTTTAGCTTTTTGTCTTTTCAGTTATGTCTATGTCAGGACTCCATCCTCTTTCACTCTTTAAATCAGGCTTTTTTTTGGTATTCACTGGTTACCTGTTAAATGTAGCTAACCTAAGCAGCTACATTTAAAACAAAGAAGATTTCTTGTTGCCTTCAACAGCCCTTATTTTACCATTTCTGTTTTTCCATCTCCTTTTGAAACCTCTAAATGTTGTGGAAGGAAAAACAAAGAGAATTATATTACTGATCGGCTTGTGAGGCTCTAAGCCTCTAAAGGTCTTGGCTGTAATAAATGTACTCGTGATGGCGTTGACTCGGTTTATTTCGGCTCGATTCGTTTCCTCCCCAGACGCTAATCAGAGTTGCAGCCTCAGCAGTTTCTCTCTTTGTCACCTTGTGGTCTCTGTGATATCATTTCCTTCAGATCCTGAAGTTTCTAATTATGTCCATTATCTTCATTTGAGATTTCTTTTTTTTCTAGCTTTTATTTTCTGGCTAGAAGAAATTCCAGTAGGTCCCTGCTTCATGTGCAATCTGAACAGGTCAAATTTGCATTTGGAAAAAAATGTAGATTTGTGACGAAAATGTGTGAATCCTGTTCGTCAGGATGCCAGTTGACCTCAAGCAGTATGTGTTTTTTTTCTGTTCCAGGAGCTGCAACATGGAGCTTTGATCTGGACGTCGGGCAGCAGGTCAGGTGGACAGGCAGGCGCAGCAGGAGGAAACATAAAGGGCAAAAAAAACATGCCGGATGCAAAACTTTAAATAAAGGTTAAAACGAATACAAAACATGTTTTGAAATAGATACGTTTCACACTCCACAAACGTGTTTGTAACCTTTTTCACTCCCTCTCCAGGGTGTTGCTCCTTCATGGAGGATGTTGGTGATTTGAGTGACATCTGTGTTGACCACGGTGATGGTGAGTCAGCTGGAGAGGAAGAGAGAGAAACTCAGTTTACAGCAGGTAGATATAAAAAATAAAAAAAAAGATTGCATTTTATCAAACAATAATAACAGAAAGCTGTTTGTTTTGTAATTACAAAGCGAGGAGATTCACTGATGGACATGAACAGATGAAAAGTCTCTCTGCGTCCTCCAACAGTCAGCAGAACAACAGAAAAACCAACAGGTATGTAGGAGATTTTTTTTTTAATTCAGCATTTTGTGATTTTCAACATTTTAAAGGTTTTGTGATTCCCTTGTTGTGTATGTGTGTGTTTGTGTGTGTTTCAGTTTCTCACATTTGTATTTATTTTTACAGTGAAAATAAAGACAGCAGTGAAGACATTAAAAACCTCATCAGGACGTCCTCTCCAGTGAGGACATCGGAGAGGCAGCTGTTAGACTTTATCGACATGAAAGAGGAAGTCTTTGACCGGCGACGTGTAAGAATGGAGCTCATTCTTTACGATATTTGTCAGAAATCATCCTGCGTGCCTGCAGCAATGCTTTGCTTTTTGTTTAGCGATGTGAGAACGAGGAGAAGAAACTCCGATCAAAGCGGATTCAGCTGAAAGAAGTTGAGCTTTGTCTCTCTGACCTCCGACAGAAAAAGAAGGTACGTTGCCTTGTCTAAGAAAAGGACATAAGATTGAAACAGTTTTTTGTGGCCTCAGTTTATTGCTTCTGATGCAGGAAACCGTTCGGCAGCTAGAACAACTGTCTGCAGATACGACTTGGATGCAGAAAGAGAAAAGATCTTTGGAGTTTGTTCTGAGAAACAGCAGGTCAGAGAAATAATCTGTTTGCTACAAAGTTAAATCTTCACCAACATGCTTGTGTTTTGGTTCCTCAAGCGGTGAAACAGCGCGCGTGTGTGTGTGTGTGTGTGTGTGTGTGTGTGTGTGTGTGTGTGTGTGTGTGTGTGTGCGTGTGTGCGTGTGTGTGTGTGTGGTGTGTGGGTGTGTGTGCGTGTGTGTGTGTGTGTGTGTGTGTGTGGGTGTGGGTGTGGTGTGTGTGTGTGTGTGTGTGTGTGTGTGTTGTGCGTGTGTGCGTGCGTGCGTGCGTGCGTGTGTGTGTGGGTGTGTGTGTGGGTGTGTGTGTGTGTGTGTGTGTGTGTGTGTGTGTGTGTGTGTGTGTGTGTGTGTGTGTGTGCAGGTACCAGCTACAGCAGTTGCAGAGGCAGACAGAGTCGCATATGAAAACTGTGTTCTGTTGGAAGAAGGTAGTTCGACAATAAATCCTGTTTTTGGTTTTAAATGATTAATTAAAACGTCACTGCAATGGATCAAATCACAATTGAGAACAAAAAAACTAACTATCATAGGAATGCTGTTGTTTTTGTTTGTTTTCAGTTTAGCAAAGTGAATATTTGCTTTGGATTTGACTAAATTGGGAGCAAAAATATATGCTTGTCTTTCTGTAAATGTGTTTCAAAATATTTGTTAGTCATTAATGACTTCCTGGAGCAGCAGCTGGAGGAGCTTCATGAGGAGCTGCACGGGGCCACAGAGGCAGGGAGCTCACTGCTGAACAGATGTGCATGTCAACAGAAACAGCTGGAGAAAAGGCATCAGACTGAGGAGGTGACACTCTCTTCTTTCACTGTCAAAGTCAAATCCCGTACAAAACATGAATAATACAACATTGAAAGGATTTGTTAGTGTCTGAAACCTATGAATGAAATCAAATGTTTTATTTGGAAATTCAAATCACTTTTAGTTGGCTTTTGCTGTAATATCCAGTTTTCATTTGATGCAGATAAAGATTTGTTCTTTGTCATCGATTAGACCACGCTCTCCCTCGTTATCTCAGTTTGTCCAAAAATGTTTTTCTGTCTTACAGGCAGTCGTTTTCTGGATCCCTGTTAGATATTTAGTTTGGTTTCAGTGCAGTAAAAAGCAGAAATGTTTCTGAGCCAATGCAATTATCTCAGTTCAAAATGCGACGCTATTTGAGGAGTTGAAAAATACACTGTTTTGATTTTCCAGTTCAGATTAATGCAGCATTCTGATATCATTTAATATAAATATTTCACATGTTTGTAATGTTTTTCTATTTTACTTTAGATGTTGAGCAGTTTTGGATGAAAGGTTACATGTTGTTTCTGCTTTTCTGCCTCTCGCTTTTTAGCCCCCTTACATTCAAGTCAGCGAGCTCCAGCACCTACTGGGAGAATGTAGGACCAAGGTGGGAACACTGGGCGAAATGTTGGCGCAGAAGGAGCTGCAGCTGATGGGTCTGCAGGAGGAACGAGACTCTCTGCACGCCGAGAGAGACGGTCTGATGAGGGAGCTGCAGCTCTACAGAGAGCTGGAAGGAGCTCAGGTAGTGAGCCTTCTAATCTTCATGGCAAAAACATTCACACTTCAACAGCTTCATGTTGGGTTTGTGGTGCTGCACTGAGGTTAATGTGTTTCATCGGGTTCTTAAGTGACAGTTCATCACAAAGTTGTACTAAGCTGTGAAATGGAGAAAAAAGATGCATTGGTTTCAGATTTATTTTCCTTCAACAAATAGTTAAATCTCGTTCAGACAGGATGGGTGGAGAGTGCTGGTGAAAACACATTTTTACTAAAGTCTTGGGTGTTTTGCTGCCTTTAAGAACTTTAATGTATTCGTCTCCATCCAGGAGCGGAGGCAGCTTCCGATCAACGCGGCTCAGAGGAAGCAGCAGACTCCGGCTCGCCTCGCAGGCAGCTTTACCGAGCAGCTGACGGCTGATCTGGAGAGGTGACGCAAAATCATCCTTACATGATGATCATCCAAACATGCACGGAACATGCATGTCCTGTGCATGTTTCACTTCAGTCTCGGCTGTGCACCCATGAAAACACTTTCAAACGTTTTCCACCCCACAGGTGCGAGACAACGCTGATGAGGTGCAGGTAACAAATAACACAGTAACTAACCAGCTAATGTAAAAAGTATTATTTCAATCTAAAACTGCACAGTAGAGGTATCATTAACTGTGGACTTGAACACGTACGTTCCTGCTGGTGCTGTGTTTTTTTACTCATTGTGGCAGCTTTTAAAGAGTCTCCATGATTGTTTTACAGAAATGCATCAAAGATGAAAGAAACAAGTCCTGACAGAAGCACTGTGTCTGGGGCAAAGGTCGATGACGTGTTCGCATTTGGCTCTTTCACACCTATTCCTTCAATAAACACGCTAACACTGTTCCTGTTCTCGCCTTTCTTCCGTCAGGAATCTCAGGAGGCTGTTTGCTCCCCCTTGCATCATGCAGTGGTCTGCGCTGCTGCACACGTCCCCCAGACGTCTCTTTGTTTCAGCTTCTTTGCTCCCTGCAGAGCACAGTGAAGCAGCACCAGGTAGAAAATCAGGCTTTTCCAGACTCTCTTAGCTTTGATGTATCAGGATCCTCTCTGAGAGGGGAATTACCCAAAGGAGATTTTTGAGGATATTTTACTGCTCAGTATAATCACAGGCTGTGCAGTGGCATGCAAATGTATTTACACCCCTTGGAGTTTTTTGTGCTGTCTTACTTTGCAACCACAACTCTCCTGTGGGCGAAGGTGACTCAGTGGATAAAGTAGCTGTCTTGGACTCCATACGTTGAGGGTTTGATTACAGCTTTCTCCTGCCACATGATGAGATGCCCTTGGGCAAGGCACTAAAGCCCAAGAGCTGTACTGATGTGAGTTGACTGGCTTTTAAGAGTCTGGTGTAAAGTGCTTGGAGCTGTACGTATTCCAGAAAAGCCCTAATAAATTTGGCCCATTCATATTTTATAATAGACAAAAACAAATTAGAGTAAAATTGAGAAGAGGAAAGAAAAGGAGACATGCTGTGCCATTTTTTTATACTTTATAATTAATTTTTTATTTTTAATGCGTATTAATATTCGGTTTCCACTGAGTTAATTCCTTGTAAAAGCATTCTTTGTGGTATAACTCCAAAACCACACCACTGAAATTATGCTGAATGTATTTTAATGCCAGTCAGTGGCAGCCATTATTACTCGCTCACTGTGACATCTGCATGTGACGGAAGAATAAAAGGCAGGTCACTGCGACATAAGGCAGCATTCATCTGTGCTGAGAGAAAGGGATCTTCCATGGCCTGTCGATACATGAACTGTGAATGAGTTGTGAGCTGTAAATTAAATCATGCCACTTTTGTTAAATAACCTGATAAAACTGTCGTTTGTGACGAAACCCTTGTGTAATGTTTCACTCTGCTAAAGTCAAACTAAATAATGACATGACTTATGGAAATGTCCAGTACATATTAATCATGTCAGCTTTAACAGTACAGCCTCTCCTCTGTTAAAGCATGATAAACTGTTCATGTGCCATCAGTGACTTTCCAGACTAAGATATCCAGAAATATAATAATTTGTCATCCATTTGGAAAATGAATTAATCTCATTTTTAGCTGCTTATTGTTGCTCGCTCATCTGAGTTTACTTATCTCCAGAGGTCAAATGGTGACAAGACGTCACTTCATCACAGGGATTAATTTGGAAAACACCAAAACAAAACCTCACCATAAATATAGAGCGGATATTTGGAGGCTCAAACATGGACACATAAAATACCTTAGCAAACACAGATCGAAAATAATGTACAAAAATAAATGACAGTAGATACCGCCAAGAAAATGTCACTTGTTTGTCCAATATTGGACAACGTTTCACTCTCTGTTGGCCATCTGACTGTGGTCTATTAACGTAACCTAAGGAGTATAAACATGTATGTTAGAGCAGCTTTTTATTTTAGCAAGAACTAAAAAGATAAAACCAATGTCTATGTTGTTAATGAAGGCAAGAAAAAAAAAAAGACAGCTTCATCAGTAATTAACTTGTTTGGTTTGAGTCTTAAAACTGTGTTGGCCAAAACATTTCTGTAAAAGAAGATATAAAAGTACTAATACAGAAAATATTCTAATTTTTTGATAAATTGGGTTTGGATTTTTAGCTGAACTCCTTAATCACAAAAATTAACTGGACTAATAATTCTGTGATATGACTTTTATTTTTAGAAATAGGAAAATATAAATGACCTTGTTCATATTCTAATCTGAGGTCTACAGCCAGACAAGATCATTCATTTTAGTGAAGGCATGCGTTCTTATTTTGACCAATCAACAGCAGTAACCTAAAAATGTATTTAACGTCTACATTTTAAGAAAACTGTAGAGAAATGTTTTTAAAAACCTCTGCATGAACCGTGTTTTATTATAAAACAAAACAAGTAACAATGCTTCATGGCAATGTACAAATGCAAAGTTTAAGCAAGTCATAAAAAATGCCTTTGCAGAATTCGTTACAAAGTAATCAAAGGTCACAGATGTGGCAAATATCTGAACCAGAGGACAATTAATCCTCTATCACGAAACAACTGAGTTCTTAAAGTCAAAGTTCAAAGAGCATTTCTGCGACAGAGGAGGATCACTCCTCCACCACAATACAACGGTAAACAGGAAGTCAGGCTTTTGGTGTTCTGTAGGGACTCCCTAAAATTTGCAGAGAAGATCCATACATTGCACACTTATGGTCAACAGTAACATAAGTCATATTTACATTACATCAGTGTGCTGCTGGTCACTCGTATGAACAAAATGCCTCTAACTTATGAGTGAATGTCAGTAAGGCGGCAAGTTTACAGGCCTTCAAGGTTTACGTCAATAACACTGTTAAAGTTAATCCTCACATGTCTGTCCACAAAAACAATCTGTGGCAAATAAATGATGCACAAACAAGCTCAAGATCAACAAGAGATTACAACACAACCGATCAGCTTATTCTGTGACGCTTGTCCAGTCTTTCACTTTGGCTTCGAGGTTAAATCTCCATGTCCTCCTCCCCCGAGTTGTGGAGCACAGGGAAGCTGTACATGGGTGCGCATGTCTCTGCAGGTGGGCAGGAGGGACTGAGGGGCGGGCTGGGAGACAAACACGGAGTTGGGAGCTGCCGGCCGACCGTCTGCTGTTTACGCTGCTTCTGTAGCGAGTCCTTCAGCCTCTGGCAGAAAGGATCTTCTGGAGGACGCCACAGGACCAGCTCCATGCCTGAAGGACTCCTGGGGTCAAGAGGAAGGAGAGTGAAGGGAAAAAAGTCGCAGTAGATGGACATTGAATAGATAATTGTTATAGTCAAACGTAACTTTATTAAACTCCAAAAATGATTTTATGAGGATCTTAGAAGATTCTACAAATGAAGTTAGTTTGCTGGACCTTTCCGGACTCCTTCACCAAAACTAAATTTGTTTTTAATTTGTGAAAATGTAAGCAAAAAAAAATGAATCAGTGTTTCTTCAAGTTTCAGTAAGTTAGATCTATTTCCTTTTTATGACCACATAATAAAACTTTATAAACATTATAAACTTCAACTGTTTATAATGACTAACAATATCACTGCTTTATAGCCGTAACATTCTTATGTTAATGTAAAATCCAATTTATTTGACATTTTCTACTTATGAAGACGCAGGCAGGCTAGCATAACAAAGTGTTCTGATTTTAGGAGCAAGATTCTCCTAAAATCTTGCTCCTAATACTTTTTAAAAAGGTTATTTTTTTTAAAAAGCCCTTGTTAAAAGATATTTTTTAAACAAAAATTCCTTTTTATTTTTACAAAAGGTATTTTAAAGGTCTGTGGGAAAGTTTAAAGTAATTCTGATAAGTTGAACTTATGATGATTTGTTGCTTCCTCCATCTCGGGGTTTGTAGTTTGCAACAGCATAACACACAAATTATTGAACGGAAGTGACAAAAGAAATGCTAGTGGTGTATTTTTCAAGTACATAAAAGCACTTCTAACAATACCTATTAGCTATTTTAACTATTTTAAAATGATCAGAAACACTATGAACTTTTATGTGGTAATCCATGTTTCCCTGGAGAATAAATATCTCAAAGATCTTTTGTCTTAACTTCAGTAGTTAAAGGATTATGTAAATGAGCATGGAGAACATACACAGACTGGGCCACAGTTTGGGGGAGAATGTCACTGATGCCGCGCTGCAGGCCCTCCTTCAAACTGTCTGAGATGACCAGAACGGGCCGCCTCGGGATCGGCTCTACATCAAGATCCTCGTCGTCATCTTCAAGGATTATTCTGCAACACATCAACATCGTAGTGAACAAATACGGTCGCACAAGGCAGCCTTGTGCTGAACCCAACAGAAAAATTACAACTGATTAGTGAAACAAAGACCCTCTGTTTGAAATAAATGGAGTGAACTGCAGGACTCAATGGGAAATACGCATGTTACCAAGATGGAAGTAAAAGTAAGTGAAAAAAAATCACCCAAAGTTTGGACTTTGTTCTGACAGTGGATTATGCATGAATGCTCAAGCATTAGTGGTTTTATATTTCTGGCTCAATTTGAGGACAAGCAGGCAGAAAGTTGCTCCACACCTGTCTTCAATCTCCTGCAGTTTCCTGTGAGCTGCTTCTATCTCCATGCAGGGACTCTCCATCTCAGCTCGGGGCTGGACAGAAGAGGACGGTGGCAAAGTGAGGCTCTGATGTGCTGAACATGGCTGTAGAGGAGCAAGGGAGACTTGCTGTGCTGACAGAGCAGGACATGTGTTCACCAAAATATCCACTTCTGTTTCGGGCATTAGCCTCCGCTTTTTGGCACTGCAACCCCTGACAAAGCAGAAAATATATTTTACACATTTTGTCACATTATTTGTGTATTTTCAAATACATTTTATGAGACAGAGTAAAGCAAAGTAGCTCATAGCCAGCCAAATGCAGATCAAAATGCAAAGTGGCAACAAATTCAAATTCATCACTTTCTCTATCCAACTTTATTTAGATCAGCTTATTAGTATCAACATGTGCAAAATGGAAGCACGTCAGCAAAAGATGATGCTACAAAGACGATGTCATGAGGACTGAAAACAAATGCAGATCATATTTTTCAGTTTTACTTTTAAAATAAAAACATTAAAAACTTCCACTTCAAAAATATGTGCCACTTTATGCTGATCCATCGCTTAAAATGTAAATAAGATTAATTGACAGCAGGGTTACAAATATCATTCACAACACATTGCTCACTTACTCATCATCATCTTGTCTCCTGTGCTTACGAAAGCGCCTTGTTTCCCAGCTGCTGTGGAGCAGAGACAAACATGTCTAAAACAAAAACATTCCTGTATGCATTCCTGGTCAACTGTCGGCGATAAACTTGAGTCAAAAACATACCAATCAGTACCATACCTGTCTGAGTTTAGTTCTCTCTGAAGGCTCTCAGAGGCACTCGGAGGTCCCAACTCAAATTCAGGCAGAGTGGTGGGGCCAGAAAATGAATACATGGCTGGTAGACACCCCAGCTCACTGGCCGAGAGAAGAGGCTGTGCATGAAGAACCAGGGGAAGGGCTGATTTGAGGCAGGAGGTCATAAGACGCGTCAATCTGAAAGATCAGAACTGGTGTTAATTAGATCAGCTTGGAAAAAAATGACAAAACAAAAAAACTACAACGTACAGGACGCATGTAGAGGCTGTCACCAACATCCCACCACGGAATGTATCCCCTGTATCTTAGTTGGGGTATTATTTATCTAAACAATGCATGGTGATACAATTCTCCTTGAGGTGACAAATATTTCTGCTCAAGTTCAGAAAAGCACAAGTTAAAGCACTGACCTGTGAACCTGCCCTGCCCCCTCGCCGTTTGTTGATGTCGATGTTTAGCTAAGTCCTCTCCGCACAGCTCGGTGTTTCTCTGTTTAATGCGGCCATTAGCCGACAAAAACAAGATATATGACCCGATAAAATAAGTAAACCTCGGCTAAGAAGAAATGGCTCATAGACCACACGCTTTATTGTGTGTGAAAGGCTTGGAAAGTAGGACGGGTCAACCTGACGTCGAATGAAAAAAAAACAAAAAAACTCTTACGCTGGAAGACTCGTCAAGGTTCTGGAAAGAGCGTGAGCTACGCACGGGGCACAGGTGAATTATGGGTAACGTAGTTATGCCACACTCTACACAGATTCTTTTTCGTCAACACAATCGGTTACATCAATTAGTTAGCACAAACAGCTGAAGAACCAGTAATTACATATAATTGTTTCACTATTAAAAGATTCTGCTTTTCAAAGTTTTCAAAGTGATACTAATAGCGCCCTCCCAACTCTAACTTTGATTGGCTGAGCCTCACAAGCGCCTCGAATTCTAACCAATCACAATCATCTAACTGTTTCACATTGTTTCCCAACTTCCTGTTGTGTTGCTGTTTGAAGACTCGATGAACTCTTCAACTTTTTCAAAGTTGTGTCATCTCAGATGATGGGTCATGTGAGACCGAAGCGTTATAAGCGTTTGTCTCTCTGTTTTTCTCCCACTCAGCTCCGATTCTTCGCTTTGGACACTCAGGAGGTAATGAGCTACTCTTTACGACTGTTGTTAAAGTTGACAGCAACTCCATGGCGACATTACTGCTCTATAACAATGTCAGTGTTGTGTCTATATTTCGCTAATATTTCCAGATTATACTGTTCTAATAGCGTGAAATGCTTCAATGTCGTGCGAGTGTTTGTGCTATTAATTTTGTCTGTGTTGTTTTCTTTTTGGAAAGCCAGAATGTTGGCTTTAGTAATTATTGCCGGACTGCTGGCTGTTGCCTCTTGCAAGCCGTGTGGTAAGAAGCTTTTAAATATTTACCTTGAAAACATTTTTTAAAACTACCTTAATTTTTTTTTTTACCTGTGATGCAACGAAATCTGGAAATTCTCAGATTTTGCAATCCCCCCGAAATTTTGACTCTTCAGTTGTCAGAAACCGTTTGAGCACTGTAGACTCAAGAACAAAAACGTAAAATTAAAATAGAAACAAACAGAAATCATTTATCTAGTATAATAAGAAGATATCAAAGTAATTTTGAATGTTTTGTTGTTGTTGTTGAGGCATAGGGATGATGTTAGCATTGAAATAAAAGTAAGATTTTATAGTTTTATTTATTTATTTTACTTAGTTGAACAAGCACAGTCAATGTGCATGGTAACCTTTGTGAGACAATGTCATCCATCTGATGTCTTCCTCTTATGAGACAATAAGCAGTCTGCAGGTTGAAGAGAGTAGGCCAGACACCTTTCCTCCAGTTCATACTGGGTCATCTTGAAGGTGTTCCCTGCCAGAGGAGACTTTTAGCCCCTCTGGTAAGTTATTCTCCTCCTCCTTGGGGTCTCTCCCCTTTGGGATGTGCCACTAAAAATTTCCAGAATGAGGCACGTTGAAGGTATCCTTCAGGGAAGCCTTCAGGATACCTTCAGGGATCCCCACACCATCTTAAATGGCTCCTGTTTTTTTTAGCTCCTCTGATGTCTTATAACCTGAATTTGTTGTACAGGAGAAGATTATTTTAGTTGCTTGCACCCAGGATCTCATCCATTCAGCTACGATGCTTATCTCATGATCATATGTCAGAGATAAATTATTGACCAGTCAGTATGGAGAGCATTGCTTTTTTTTGCTGAGCTCTTTAGTCACACTTACAGATGGATGCAGCACCTGCACTACTGCAGATGATGGCCCAAATTGTCTGTCACTAAATCTAACAGAGGCCACCTCCACAAAATGATGTCTAGGTCAGATCCAATTAAGAAAGCGTGCCTGGGTGTTCTGAGTCCCAGTTTCATAATTTGGATTTTGGGGTACATGTATTTATTTGATGTCTATCTTTAATGAAGATAAAAATCAAAACATCATAATCATATTTTAGAGCAAGTTCATGAAATACAATTTACTGAATGATACACCTGCAGGCAGCTCCACCAAAAACTAAACAATCTGTAGAATGCTAAACCTTTTAAAAACAATCACAAGGTGTTTTTATTTTTACCTCTGGCAATTTTTTAACTGGTATTGAGTTTATCTGGGTAGAGGGATTCTGTAATTTGCTCTTAATCTTAACTGCTGATGCAGCTTCTTGGAGTTTCGCAATGCTCCAAAAGTTTTTGTTGATGTCAGCAACAACACAGAGACATCCCTGTAAGTTTTTTTTTTTTTTTTTTTTTTTTTTTTTCAAAACCTGTTCCAGATACTGATGGAGCCAACTCCGAGCTGCTCCTGACACTCAACAGGAATCTCGTTCGTTCTCTGGAAAGCCCGGAAGGACTTCCCAATCCAAGCGTGCACCTGGCTCTTCGACTGTCTCATCACCACAACCAAGCCAAGGAGACAGATCACCTCAACAAACTGAAAAATGAACTTCACAATGACATCCAAACGTATTTTTCCCCGTTTTATAACAGTTCCTTGACCTTCTATGTGAAATTATGAGCATCCATTGTTTTTAACTTTGTCTGACGACCTTCAGCTCACTCTCAAACGGCCAGGCTGTGACTGGCGTCATGGCGCTGTATAGTCTTGCCCTGAAGTCCTCCTGCTATGACCTCAACACCATCAGCTTCACTGCAAATGACAAGAGTGAGACACTGCTGACACACCTGAAGAGGCAGATGGAGCAGGAGAAAGATCACATCGCCTGTAAGATTTCTCTTCACAGGTTGAGTTTTTTTCTGAAACGTTTGCAGAAACTTGTTTTACTGTCCTGTGGCATGAGGTCAGAGTTCACTGCTGTGAATTGTCTCTCTGACGGAAAACTATTTCTGAAAATGCTGAACAGCAAAAATTAAACAGTTAAAGTTATAACTAACATAAAATTATCCAAGAATAGAGCAATTATTAATTGATTTAAGCTCAGAAGGACGCCATAATGTCAAAATAGCATATTTTTTTTCTGACTTTAGTAAAGTTTTATGTCATTTAGTTTTTTTTTTCTTTCGTCTTACAGTCAGCCACCGCCCTTTGACCAACTATTACCAGTACAGCCTGGGTGTGCTTGCTCTCTGTGTAAGTGACATAAGGGTCAACCACCATGTCAGCCACAAGCTCATCAAAGCAGCAGAACATGAGCACTTCAAACACGGAGAAACCGAGAGTATTGGTGAGTTAGCGGGCTGTTAAAAATCTTTGGACTCAGTCCTGTAGTAATAGTTATAAAAAAAGAAATCATTGACAATGTACTATTCAAATAATAAACTGTTCTGATCTAGAGGACATTTGCAAGGCAGTTTAGACAAATCTTATCAAGTCAAGATGTGGTGTTCTCATGGAGTCCTACCAAAGAAGTCTGTATTCAAAACTATTAGTTTAAAACACTGTAGACTATGCAACTGGATTACTATACTTTTTTATCTAAAAAAATTGTTTTCAGCAGAAATATGTAAGACGATTGCAACAAAATGTATGGAAACAGTTTCACATCTTAATGCAGACTATGCATGTTTCAGTTTCTTTTTAATCTCTGTTCGTTTTGTAATTCAACATTTCTGTCCCTCCTAGATACCTATGCTATGGCTGGAATGGCCCTTCAGTGCGTGAAGAACTCTGGTTCATATGCACACAATGCAGAGGAGCTGGATTTAACTCTCAACAAGATCAAGCAGAAGCTTCTGGCCTCTCGTAGATCTGACGGTCATATTGGCAATGAGTTCAGCACAGGTCTGGCAGTTCAAGTAAGAGGTTATTTGTTTTCTGTCCTCACCACCTTTACTTGTTTCTGCGTCAAACCTTAAAAAAATCACTCGTGCTTGATTTACTGACATTCAAGGCTTTACTGGCAATGGGCAGTGAGGTTGGAGATTGTTCTGCCTCATTGGAGGCCATGAGAACAGCTGCCAGAAGCAACACCTACCACAACCCCATGGCCATTTCTCAGACTCTGCCGGCGCTCCAGAGGAAAACCTACCTGTCAGTAAAAACTCTGGACTGCCTCAATGAGGATGGTGTGTGCAGGATTGCTTCCAGCTTTTTTTTGGTCACTTCGACCGGTATTGTTCTTATTTCACATGTTGTTTTCTTTTTGCAGACACACTGGTGCTAGAGCCTATAGACCCTGCTGTGGTTTTACAAAGTGAGACTAAAGTGAATGTGATGGTGGAGGTGGTGACTGCTAGCGGAGCTGCGGCTGCATACCCTGTAGACGTGCCAAAGGGCAGCTCTCTGCTGGAAGCCCTGGAGCTGCTTGAGAGGAAGAATGTTGGCTTCACGTAAGTTCATTTAATGAGCCGCAGCAAGTCACTTTCTGTCAAACCTGAGGAAGTGAGTAAAATCTGATCCTGCTTGGCAGATTTGAGAAGGAGTCCAGTCTGTGGGGACCATTCTTAAGCGCTGTGAACGGAGAGCAGGCCAGACAAAGCGACCGCAGATACTGGCACCTTTCTTCTGATGGCACGGCTCTCACTGAGGGTAAAGACACACACACCCTTGTTGCGGTGACATTCAGCAATATTAATTACTGCAGTCTGTTCAGTTCTTTGAAGTTAAATAATTGAAATATCTCATTTTCTCAGGTGTTGGCGACTTCAAGATCAACACTACTCAAAAGATCACCATCAAAAACACAAGTTACTGATAATGTTGCTCTCACCACAAATTCTTTACCTTCAAATGTTTTCTGACTCTATTTTGATCTGTGATTATAGCTAAATTGTCTGCTGCTATCATTTATTTTTGCATTCATAAAAGGCATGCATAAAACTGTAATTTGGTCTTATGTGACATTTTTCAATGTAAATGCTTTTATTTCAGTACTGAAAATGTTTTTTTTTCTTTTTAGAATGAATATTCAATAGTTTGTTTCATAAAATGGATTTTAAATTTCGCTCATGTTCTTTAAACAAAATAAAGTTATGGTGACATATTAAAGAATATACAGTTAAAATATATGTATTTTTTTGTGAACAAGTGATTCAATCTGGCATAAGTTTTCAAGATTATCTGTTTTGTACAACTCAAGACTGAGGTTTTTGCCCGGTTTTCTTGAAGAATAGCCAAAGCTTGAGTCAGACTGGTTGAATAAATCTCTAACCAGTTACCACAGGTTTACAATTGGATTTAGGGCTTAAGAGCTTCCATAATTTCAAAAAACTCAGAATACTGTTATATAAGCAGCCTGACACTTTATGACACAATAAAGATGAAGAATACAAATGTATGGAAGCCCGTTTCAACCACTCTGTTAAAAATAAATAAATAATTTCATTATAATGAGACAGTATCTCAAAATAATGAGATAATATCTCATTATTATTATCAATAATGATAATATAATTATAATTGTATGACATAGTAATTATATATATTTTTTTTATTTCTTTATTTATTTTTAACAGAGTGGCGGAAACGGGCTTCCATACAAATGAATGCAAAATTTATATATATTTTTATTACAAAAAACTCACATCTGGAGAAAGTCACCTCACCAATTTGGACACGTGTCTCCAGGAACTTTGCGCATTTAATTTAAATGAATGCAAGTTTCAATTATATTGAATGCATAAAGATGTCATTCTCCCTGTGCAACATCACCTCTGACATCCAGTTTTCACACTGACACATAAAATCAAGAAATAACGTAGTTGTTGAAAGGCTTTTATTGTGAAAGTGAACGATGTTATGCCGGAAGTGCGTCAAGTTGCTAACGCTACGCTGGTAGCGTTCATCAACTGGCACATGTTACAAAATTTTACTTAGAATTATGCAAACGAGGAGAGGCCTGTGCGAGACTGAAATTTGACTTTTATAAACTTAATAAAGTTTATTTCACAAGCGTAGAAAGACGTTTCAATGTGCTCCGATAGTTGATGTTACACTGGATTGTTGTGGGTAAAGCTAGCTAGCTTTCATGAGCTCCTCTCCTGGTGATGTTCCTGCTGATTGTTAAGAGACTGGAAAAGCGTTTGCTATCACGTACAAATTAAAGCGTGAATCCTAATGGCTGCTCTGCGCCGACTCCTGTTACACCGGGTTTCTGTGACCCAGAAACAGGGTTCAGGTCTGACGCAGCTCAGCAGGTTGGCATCCACTCTGTGGAAACCTCCAACCAGCTCATTTATGAGAGGAACGGCTATCTGCAGCTCTGTGGATAAAAACATAGGGCATCCAAGTATTTCTTGCTCTAAAAGCTACTCGAGTTCATCTCAGGATGGTGCATCGCGAGTGAAGAGAGTTTCTATCGAGGGAAACATCGGTAAGATTACTGGATCTTTAAGTCGTATAACTAGAGAGAGTAGTAGTAGATATAAAATAAGTTGCTATAAAGTTATTGTAAAGACCTTCATACAGTGGCACACCTCAGTATGATCTCGTGGATCATACTTTTGTATGGCAAAAGTCTCCTTCAGAGAATCATCTGTGCAAGAGCTGCAGGGACACAACTCAGAACAACCCATTTGTCCTGCACTGCAAAATGATGGCCTCTATAAACACCAGAGCTAAAACAGAATCGAGAAAAAGACTGAATCCAAATGTACACCACAATTTTCGGTTTTTATTTGAAGAACATTTTATGCATTTTCGTTTTCCATTTCACAATTATGTCATAAAACCACAATACATTTTATTCATAGGTTTGTGGTTGGTTGCAAAAAAACTAAAAAGCTCAAGATCTATGAATATTTTTGCAAGACATTTTATTTCTGGTTGAAGTGAGTAAACAGAAATGATCATATTATCCCGGTGAAGGAATTAGCATGGCGTAATGTGTACAGGTGATGTGAAATTTAAAGAATTGCACATTGGGAAGACTGAATAATATTGCTTCTATGTTATGTGCTTTTCTCCGAACAGCTGTTGGAAAGTCAACCTTTGCAAAAGTCCTGCAGTCGGTTTCTACGGACTGGGAGGTGGTGCAAGAGCCTGTCGGTAAATGGCAAAATATTGAGATCAAGACCTCAAAGGTGAAATTATTTTTTCTCCTAGACACCATTTGACCATTTGGTATGACAAAGAGGAAGATAAGACTAAATTATTCCCATTTATTCACCAGGAAATAGATACTTCACCCGGAGCAATAGTCAGCAACTTGCTGGAGATGATGTACCAGGATCCTCAGCGTTGGTCCTACACATTTCAAACATATTCCTGTGTGAGCCGAATGAGGACACAGCTTCAGCCCCCTCCTGCTCGTCTTCTCAACGCAAAGGAAACGCCCGTCCAGATGTATGAGCGCTCGGTCTACAGTGACAGGTGAAACATTTTGAATCAAGACTCACTCATGTCCACGTCTGTCCTTAAAGCATCAGTCCTTTTAAATAAACTGTGGTTCCCAGAGTTCCCAGACATTAAGACACATCCTGGATTTCAAGTATTGTGTTTGATTTATCTTTGGTGAATTCAGAGTGTGATCCACCTATGTAGCTTTATCATGCCTACTAGAAACTAACCTTAAATCTTCTCTGTCAGATACATCTTTGCTCTGAATATGTTTGAACTGGGCTGCATCAACGCCATTGAATGGGTGACCTACCAGGACTGGCACTCCCTGATGGTGGAGCAGTTGGGCCACCGGGTGGAGCTGGAGGGCATCATCTACCTCAGAGCCTCACCCAAGGTATGAATGTAAGAGCTTTTTTTTCTTATTATTCTGAATTCAATACCTTGCAAAGAAATTGCAAGCAACTTTGCTTCTCTCAGATGTGCATGGAGCGTCTGAAGTCACGGGGAAGATCTGAGGAGGAGGGAGTGAAGCTGGAGTACTTGGAGACGCTGCATAGGCAGCATGAGAAGTGGCTGGTAGAGAAGAGTACTGAGTAAGAAAAATAAATAAATGTATTTGTTGTACAACAAAATTGCACCTTCATTCTTCATTCTGTGTATTTCACATAGTACAATATCTTTAATGTAGTTTCGTCTTTACCAAGTTTAAAGATGTTTAAAGGGGACAGTGTTATGGAAAATAAAACATTTTGCGCTTTATGTAATGTTGTAATGTTTCTCTCTAGAGTGTTGGTTTGATTTCTTTCTTGTATGTTTGAGAAATTGTTTAATCTCCTGGAGCAACCCTCCAGATGTGCAAAACTCCTGGGTGGATCTCGCTCCTCCTTTGAGGCGCAGCTCCTCTTCAGAGCTGCAGTTCCCAATCTTCTCACGGCACAGTCTTCCTCTGCCGTGGTATTATGGCATTTTATGCTGTTTCTGATCGCATAATCAAGCTCACCATGTTGCGATTTAACTCATTTTAGATCTCTGTAAAAGACAATTGATTTTTATTTTGCTCAAAATGCGCTTTCGTCTTACCATGACTGTAACATAAATTGAGTATTTTAGTTTTTCAGAAGTAATTACTGTAAGAACAGATGGCAGTCTGCATTGTGTGGTATTTGAAGCCTTTTAAAGCAGAGGTGTCAAACTCCAGTCCTCAAGGGCCACTGTCCTGCAGTGTTTAGATGTGCCACAGGTACAAAACACAGGAATAAAATGGCTTAATTACCTCCTCCTTGTAGATAAGTTCTCCACAGCCTTGTTAATGACCTAATTATTCATTCAGGTGTGGTGCAGCAGAGGCCCGTCTAAGTTGCAGGACACCGTTCCCAGAGGACTGGAGTTTGACACCCCGGCTTTAATTATTCAATCAATCAATCAAATTTTATTTGTATAGCACATTTCAGCAAGGCATTTCAAAGTGCTTTACATCATGTATGTATCTGACACAGCTTTGCTCTTTTTAACCTTAGGATACACTTCGAGAAGTTGAAAAAGATACCTGTGTTGCAGCTTGATGCCAGTGAGGCATTTGATAGAGATCCCAAAGTGCAGGAGCTGTTTATTGCAAAGGTAAGTTTCTGACATTGGCTGCTGTACCTGTGTGAGCCACATGGGGTCTCTAATGTGCTTTATCTTATAAATTTGCTAATGTTTGTATGTTAATCGAATTTTTGATGCCTACGCGTTTTTAATCCACCGTGACCCTAAGTAACCTTTTCACACTTACAGGTGAAGGACTTCTTTAAAACTTTGTGAGAAGATTCAGCTGAACAGTCGCTAACGGAGGGCAACAAAAGACATCAAAATAACACAGAAGAGCAACGTACAACTGTATTTATTAAAGTGCACACAGTATGTCTATAAATGAATGTTTCACTTCTAATGATTCTGTTACATTTTTTTAATTAAAGTTCCAGTTGTTTGTTAGTTCTAACAACACTGTTTTCCAACCAGAATTCTTGAACTGTATAGTTATCTGTTAAAATATTTATTTTTCCAAACAATAAATGGAGATGAATCCAGCTGTTTTTATACCAAGTAATCATTATATAAGCGCTAAAGAATTACTGTGAAAAGTGCCACAAAGTGTTTAGTGAGGATCTGTATATGTGGATTTCTTATACATTCACTGAATAAAAATGTTTTTTGTTGTTTTTTTTAATTGCCAGGGGTCTGTTCATTCTTTGTGTTTTTCTGAGCATTTTCACACAATGCCATAAAAAATTATTTATACCCTTTGAACTTTGGACAAAGAAAATGACAAATACAAAATAATTATTTTTAAGTGATGATTTCAGTTATAAATGCAGTGGTTCCCAAAGTGTGGGCGCAGTGCCCTTGCAGGCGCAAAGAGGCAGTATGAATGAATGGGGAAAAAAAAAACAGTTACACAAAAGTGTTTCACTGTAAAGATGGTTTGTAGTGTGTTTTGTTGCAACCTGAAGTGTGAAATAAACTTCAGGTTGAGGTTTGAAAACAAAATATATGTACAGGTTTATGTCTGGTTGAACGATGTGTGTGCCCAGTTGATTCTTTTTTCTTTTTGGGGGGATTTTATTGTAATCCATTGGGGAGCCCAGAAGAAAATCTTTTAGAGCCACTGTATTATTGGAAGAAAACAAACCTGGCCCACAGTGCAAAAAGTAAAACACACAATTAAATTTAAAATAAATCATAAATTATATTTTTGGAAATGCTGAGTTCAATTTCACTTTCCACACCCAGACAAATATGCAATCATTCCCATCTAATCTTTCTACTAGATCTTCCGTGTTTGAAAGAGGATGTGGGGTTGGACAATTTCCATTAAAAGGCTAGGAAAATTGCTCAGTCTCGGCGCAGTTGTTTTTGTTCAGTCCCTGGTCATGTCATATCATGCGTTCCCGACGGACCCGGACCAACGGAGGCAGTGGATCCAAGCGATCCGAAGAGATGAAGGTCCGGACTTTTGCATAAAGACGGGGAGCACTTTCGTATGTAGCCACCACTTCACACCAGAGGATTTTGTTAGCGGATCCACCACCAGCCGCCTTAAAAGTGGAGCTGTTCCTTCCCTGTTTGCCTGGAATAACTTCACTGCACCGGTAATGAGAGTCTGCTTTCGAAAGGGCTAAGAAACGGCAGCTGGTTATCAATAATGCTAGCCAGGCTGAAGATGCTACTGCGGACCATGACTACACGGCACATCCCAAAATAAATAAATAAATAAATAAATAAATAAAAAAATTAAAAAATAAAAAACTACACGGCACATCCACCCGCTGGGGCGGTTGTGCGCATGCGCGGGTCCGTAGTGCGCATGCGCGGGCCGGGTCCGTAGTGCGCATGCGCGGGCCGGATCCGTAGTGCGCATGCACGGGCCGGGTCCGTAGTGCGCATGCGCGGGCCGGGTCCGTAGTGCGCATGCGCGGGCCGGGTCCGTAGTGCGCATGCGCGGGGCCGGGTCCGTAGTGCGCATGCGCGGGCCGGGGCGGAAGTGGGGTTGGACAACTTCCGGTGGCTATAGCGTTAGCATTAAAAGGCTAGGAAAATGGCTCAGTCTCGTCGCAGTTGTTTTTGTTCAGTCCCTGGTTGTTCATGTGGAGCAAGAAAACAGCCTTATCTGTCATATCATGCGGACCCGGACCAACGGAGGCAGTGGATCCAGGCGATCCGAAGAGATGAAGGTCCGGACTTTTGCATAAAGACGAGGAGCACTTTCGTATGTAGCCGCCACTTCACACCGGAGGATTTTGTGAGCGGATCCACCACCAGCAGCCTTAAAAGTGGAGCTGTTCCTTCCCTGTTTGCCTGGAATAACTTCACTGCACCGGCAATGAGAGAGTCTGCTTTCGAGAGGGCTAAGAAACGGCAGTTTGTTCTCTCTCAGAAAGCTAGCCAGGCTGAAGATGCTACTGCGGACTATGACTACACGGCACATCCACCCGCAGGTGAAGGATAGTATATTTTCCATGTAAGATCATTTCAGTAATATATAACTGTTGCTATATTTACATTATTATTATTATTATTATCACATAATTATGAGATTATGTCGTCATGTATGTTGTGGAGAGATTAAGTCAATGGCTGTATACATACATGCTCCGACTCACAACATATATTGATCTTCACAGAAGTAATGTTTCAAATATATATTTAAAACTTATTTTGCTATTTTATTTTGTGGTTTTTTTGATGAAGCTCTGCATTATATTAAGGAGGCCAGACTTCAAAAAGTGGATTTGTCTGCCACACTTTTTAGCCGCTACTGTCCTCTGATGACCAGATCCGGGTCTACACCAGATTTCCATCTGAATGTGTGTTCCGGATCTTCTGGGAGTCCATTGCACCCTCTGCATCACTCCTGGTGTACTGGACCAGAGCACAGAAACTTGGAGAGGAAGTAGTTCTCCGAAAAAGAACATCACAAGTTCAACTCTGAATGGTTCATCAAAACTAATGTGAACTTTCTGGATAAAGTTCAATTTAACTTTAATTGAAATGCTTTAACTGGTACACTGGAAATGCAACAATTAGTAATTAAAATATGATCCAAGTACATTCACAATAAGACAAAACTAACTTACAAGCAACTTTTTTCATCAGGAGCTTGTTTTAATTAAGTAATTCCTTAATATTGACTAAAAAGTAACTTGTCAAAAGTGAAATAATCTGCCAGTGGAACTAGGACAGCTCAGTGTAACATCTGAAATCTGTTCTTTTTCAATTCGATTGGCGGTATCTGAGTAAAAGGGAGTAGATGACACTTTTCAGATAGTTTGTTATTAAGCTTAGCTTTTTGTTGATCCATCACATAAAATCATAACACACTGGTTGTAAGGTGATTTGGTTTTAAGAGGCTTAGAAGCAACCTAAACCTCTGAGGTTACTCCTAGGAGGTTTTAAATCTCCAAAGGTTACTCCTTTAGAGGTTTACAATGACTATTTTTACAATGCAAAAAAGGTCATTTTTTGCATTGTAAAAAAGGTGTCAATAATATCAGTGTTTAATTGTGAATATAACATGTTTTGCATTTAAAAGTTAGTTTGACAGGACAATGACCTTGGCTAAAAGCAGCTACCCTCTGGCCCTCTGATGTGCTCTGATGATCAGAGGAGCCTTTAAGATGCCTGCAGTGGTCAGGGGTCATCAAAGGGCAGCTGTCCACTATAAAAGGCCAGTCTACAGCTCCATCTGCACTCAACATCATTTGTGCCCTGGAACAGCTGGAGGAAGAACAGACTGAGGCAGAGCTTTGTGAGTTTCAGCTAAAATGGAGAGCAGAGTCCTGGCTGTCTTCTGCACGCTCTCTCTCTGCTCCTTTGGAGCCGTCATCTCGACGCGGACGCGTAAACTTCACACACACCTGGAGAACGGTTCGGCTCATGGAAACATGTCAGCAAATCATCGCAGCAGATATCCTTTGTACATGATGCAGCTGTACCGCTCCTTCAGTGCTGCCGACTCCATCGACTCACTGACTGTCAACACCTTTGCAACTCCAAGGGACCAGCTGTCAGCTTACAGCTCTGATTCTGTCCTGAGTCTAGTGGCCAAAGGTTGGTAAAAAAATTTTCTCAAACATTCAGGACTGTTACACCTTGACTGTTAGTTTCTGTCATCCAGCAGCTCCTTGGCTGTTTATCTGTGCTATCAGACCCTCCCTTTTTACAACTCAGCAAGTGTCAAAATGCTTATTGGACTTTAAAGGCTGTCTCTGTTTTATGTGGGGTGCTTGTATATTAGCCCTCAGACGGCCTGGTGCAGGGGGGTCCAATACACATCCTGCCCCGGTTCCCCTCTCACTTCAATGTTTTGACATCTGTCCAGCAACCTGGCCTCTCCACGTTCGCTCAGGCTTGGAGTGTCACACTTTGATTTCTCTTTCTCCTGGTTTTTCTCAAAGGTTGTCATCAAGTGGGCGACAGATGGATGGTCACCTTTGACATGTCTTCCATCTCCACCAGTGAGCTGGTCCAGCTCGTAGAGCTTCAGATCCGACTCCCAGCTTTCTCTGCCTCTCACCATGCCACTGTGGATCTATATCATTCCCAGAAGCACAGCTGTGACCCGAATGGGACTTCATGCCAGGAGTCAGAGGAGGAGGCTGTCTTCTTGGGGAGCTTTGGCGCAACACCGAGCAGCACAAAGTCTTCCTGGAAGGTATTCAATGTGACAAATCTCTTGAAATACTGGCTTTACCAGGGAGATGCAGTGTTGAGCCCAGAGGGCTCGGGAGTGACTCAGAAAGACGGCGGGAGCGGTTATGGGGATGAAGACCTCTTGGGAAGAAGTCACAGAAAAGTACAACATCCAACCACAAATCGGGTGATGATGGTCATCTTCTCCAAACACAATCTGCCCCAGGATTCCTCTGGAGCGTACAGTCTCATTCACACTGTGGAAAACTCCAAATATGTGACAGCTAACAGGGTCAAGAGCAATAGGCAAAGCCGGCGCCACAAGAGGAACCGGATGGAGGCCCTGCGGGTTACCGATGGAGCTGCACCTACTGTGGCTCCTGCAGCGGAGCAGGCTCAGAGGCCCCTGTGTCGCAGGGTGGACATGTGGGTAGACTTTGACCACATTGGCTGGGATGAGTGGATCGTGCATCCCAAGCGCTACAACGCCTATCGCTGTGAGGGAGAGTGTCCCATCCCTCTGGACGAGTCCTTCAACCCCACCAACCACGCCTACATGCAGGTAAGATGATGACTACATAGTATGACTCCTTCTAATTGTGCAGCTCATGTCAAATGTTCTGTTAACTTTCAGAGCCTGCTGAAACATCACAACCCAGGAAGAGTGTCGTGTCCTTCCTGCGTGCCGACACGCCTCACCCCGCTCTCCATGCTGTACTACGAGAACGACGACCTGACCCTGCGGCACCACGAGGATATGATTGTTGAAGAGTGCGGCTGCCACTGAAAGGATTCCTGCAGAAACCTGAATTGTTGTGTTTTTGTTTGCATATAACATTAATAATCAAGTATGATAACATTTCTTGTCATTCCCCTCTATTGAAAGCATTTCTGTGTTGAAATAAATGTAGTAAGATTTTACTATTCTATACATGTTATCAGAATGTAAATTTTAATAATTTGTCTATTTATAGATTATAATGTATATTTTGTATATAAAACATAAAAGAATATATTAAAATCTTTTATTTTGACAAA